GCCCTTTATCCTTGTAATCATGGTATCATATAGCCAAAACTATAAAAAACATATCACTGCCCTAATATTTTCTGACGGTTATGTAGTTAATTGCTGTTTACATTTCTAACTGGGGAGAAAAACACACAACCCCCCAACACACAACCACACACACACACACACACACACACACACACACACACACACACACACACACACACACACACACACACACACACACACACACACACACACACACACACACACACACACACACACACACACACAGGAAGTCCCCTAAAGAATGATTGCTGGACATTATTACTGCCTCTCTAGTCGTGTTCCTCTCACAATCAACAAACCTCGACACAGCTCTAATGAAGCTATATCTCTGTGTAATAGAAAAATTAACCAGAATTTATTGCAGCAATTACAATCAAGAGCGATGTTTCAGTATGACTGTTCGGGTCGTAATTGATTCCAACAAGGAAAAAGTGCAGCACAACGTGTGTGTGTGTGTGTGTGTGTGTGTGTGTGTGTGTGTGTGTGTTTAGATTAGTATGATTTGGGCTCTGAGCATCTCTTTCAGCACAATTAGAGCACGCTGGCCTCGAACCAGGAAAACAGGCAAGGAGTAATTGGGTTTAAATTAGACATGTTCTCTGTTCATAGCTACCTAATGTAACGTGGAGAACTCACTCGCTCACTCTTCCTTCTGCCTCTTCGGCTTATCTCATTTAAACATCCCTCCAGCTCTTCCTACCCTTAGTACTTACAGAATTCAGCCTTTTGACTTCATCATAGACTTATATCTTTCTCACACTGATTCTCCACCAGTCTAATTGGTTTTCTACCAATTCATTTTTCCATTATCTAATCTGGATTTTTAGTACCATTTTGGTTATTTCCAGGAATAAATAGCAAAGTAAATCAAATCTTTTTGTGAATAAAATAAGAAGATGGTGTAAAATTCCAATCACAATTTTCAAAAAGCCCTAGGTGCAGCCTTCAAATAACTTGTTTTGATCTTCGGTCAAAAACCCAAAAAGCAAAACCTCCAATTTAAGAATCTTGAAGCAGCTAATGTCTGGCATTTATGTTTGAAAAACCACTTAAAACTATCAACCAAACTCTAAACACGACCCCACCCGGGATTTGCATTAAATAGCCCAGACCTTAACTGTATGCAAATGAGGAGCAGCCAGTGTGATGGCCCATCTCTCGAAGCGCACCGCAGCGCTACCAGAATGCATTGCAAGGCTACTTACATACACTTACTTACAATGAACGGGAAGCGTGGAAATGACTGATCAGACACATACCATAAGGAATGTGTGCATGTGTGTCAGAGTATGTTTGCCAGTTGCATCTGTTGCTATGGTGGTACATGTTTGTGGACATACGGTATGTGTGCTGCGTGTGTGTGTCGCAGCTGTTGCAGGCAGTGGTGCTATTCCTCTGGGAGGGTCGTGTCGCATCCCCAAGAAAGAGTGTGTGTGGGTGTGTGTATGTGTGTGTGTGTGTGTGTGTGTTTAGTGTGCTGGATCATCACATCTTAGCCCGGCCAAGATAGTTTCTACTGCCACTAATGGCCAGCTGTTCTCACAACATCTGGATATGCATGCACACACACACACACTCTCCCACCTCGGTCTCATTTACTCCTTTCTCATCTCCCTCTCCATCTCACTCTGCGGCTCAATGAAGGCTCATTAGAACTAAATTGGGATCTGTCATGTCACTCTGCCAGGCCGGTGAGAAGTGCCTTTTTTTTTTTTTTTTGGTCTGGCTTCTGCACACCCAGACCCACACACATACATAAAGTGTATACTGTATACACACACAAACAAAGCACTCTAAGAAAACAGTCTAAGAAAATAAGACTGAATGACATATTCTGATAAAAAATAACTGTTTTAGTAATAGAGAACTGCTGCTTCCCATTTGGGAGTGCCACTGACTCTTGTTCTAGTTTAACTGTGTATCTCTCATTTAGTATCTTACTGGTCCCAGTGGTAATGACCAGTGTGTTGCTCTGGTCAGCATCTTCTCTTTTCTCATCCTGAGGTCTTTAAAACTCCATTCCTCTCGTGTCCTCAGCTCTACCATTACTGCACTCATTAACAGACACAGGCCAACACCTTTATTAGCTTGAATTTGATGCATAAAATAGCTAATTGGATTATGTTAATTTGACTGAAGAAGACTTCGCAAGGGTGCTGACCTGCAAATACTTGGCTGTACAAGGTAGGTAACGGCAGGTTTATCTTTAATCTTTGCACCAAAAACCCAACTGAAAAATAAACCTGCATTAACATTCTGAAACAGCTAAGTCCCTTTCCAACCTGTGATGTTTTTTTAAGACTTACAAACTCCTACAACAGCTGCCCATCAGAGCATCCTGTGTAATTAACCCGACAGTAAGAAGGCTCAGCATGTGACTGGTCCTGGCTGGGTGTGACAGTACATAACGTACATCCCCCTTAATAATAGATCCATCCCGATAGTGGCTCTGTCTGGGCTCTGTCTCTCTGAGGGGATCTGGAATGGCCTGATGTTACTGCAGCCACTGCCTGATACTGTACAACTCATCTATATTTCAATAGGGCCCTGTTGAGTGTGTATGTGTGTGTCTGTGTGTGAATGAGAAACCGAGAGATGGGAGTGTGTCACTGGACAATCACTGCTTTAATTCACTGATCTAATTTTGGTTAGGGGCTGGTCGAATAAACAGAATTCAGTGAGTAGTTTTACACAATCAGAATGGCGAGGCTGTGTGTCTGTTTGTTTTGAGCTTTAGTCATTCAACCAGTAAGTAAAGCTTCGTTAAACAACTCCGTGTAAAACAGTGAAAAGAGAAGCAAAACATAAAACATAAAACATTGACAAATCTAGTTTACTCCGGAAACAGCTATCATCCTCATCCTCACTTCATGTACAGAACTGTCGCTAAAAGACGCCAAAAGTTCAAATCTCAGTAACACTGGGCATGTTTTGCTTTTGTGTTGCTACTTTTTGTAAATTGGAACGTGGGTGCGTTTTTGCTTAAAAATCATTCCCTCTGCAGTATTAATCAGGATAGTCCCAGAGATTATGGATAAGGAATCAGCAATACATAAAACAATGCAAGTTGTAGACAAAAAATTTGAATGTTATCAAAATCACATAACAGGTGGAACAATGGGAAAAATCTAAATATGTTAAAAATGAATACAGGTGAGTTTGTTATACAGTAGCCGTCTGACAGTCAAAGTCTACTAGAATATTATCAAACTAGAAGGGCACTCAGAGTGCAGAGCTGTTGTGCCTGCAGGTACCGCTGGTAGAGAGAGGGACAGCTGGTTTGGACGGCTGCCATCTCAGCCAGTAGCTACGTTTACCAGAATCTGCCAAAAGTTAAGATACGTGACACACTAAGATAAACGGTTAGACTACATACAGACAGCTTCAGCTTGTTCCTAACGAGCTCAACAAACGCGCTGTGGTTGCAACAACAACATGTGTAGGAGCTGAGTCAAACAGAGCAGAGGACAGAGAAGCTAGCGCGACCATCACCTCATTTTTTATGGGTCTGCATGATTCCTGTGGGTCACATTTTCAGGTCGGACAATCAGGATTTACATCCCTGATTTATTTCTTATGTCTTACATACCTGCTGCATGTGTTTCTACAGTGATGTTTGAGGTGGCTGTTATGTTTTGCTGTATGTTTAGTTGCGGCACATTATTCACTTGAATTACGATGGGTTTGTGCATGCACAAGTATTCAGTTCATTTTGCCATAGGAACGTTAAAAATAATTAGTGTATTCTGCCCTGTGATTCACATCTACAAAACAAAAAAACTTTATGGGTTATTTCTTGGCCCATGCTACATCCTTCCACCACAGCTCATGAAAACAAAAAACAAGGCACCAAAAACACAAGATCCTTGCCGGAGGTAACAAGCTTGTTTACCATATAAAAACCAAACATTAAAAATATAATTAGGGTTCCATCCACATGAACAAGAATGGCATTAAAGGAATAACTCAACATTTCAGGAAATGAGCTTATTTAGCTTTTTTTTGCCGAGAGTTATATGGAAAGGTTGATACCACTCTGATATAAATAAATGATGAATATGAAGTTGCTTAGCTTAGCACAGAGATTGGAAACTGCTGGAAATGGCTAGCCTGGCTCTGTCTACCAGCACCTCTAAGGAATTAATGGCGCAAAAACTAGTATAAAAGCAAGTGTAAAAACGTCAAGTTGTGAATCTATGGGACATGCAGGACTGTTTCTTGGCCGGGAGTGTGCTACCAGTCTTTATGCTAAGCTAAGCTGAGCCTGCTGGCACTATCTTTATTCTTACTGGACAGATATGAGAGCGGTATCGTTCTTCTCATCTAACTCTAAAGCTAAATAAGGGTGAAATGTCGAATTATTCCTTTAACCTACAAGCTCTTGCTGATGAGAACAAATGAATTCTCTTAAAGTAATGCTGAAATGTCTGAAAAACGTGGCCATAGGGAACATAAATATGACAGCCTTAGCTATCCATACTGAATGTCAGTCTGACTCAGACTGACAGCTGTCCAAATCATAACAAACAGCCTGAGTCAAGGCTGGCAGTAAAGGTTCTCACACAAACACACACTGAGATTCTCTAAGATTTAGACCCACTCGGCATCTAGACATTAGAAAAGGGCTTTAAGGTAAAAGGTAAGAGATAGCTGGGAAGTGAATACACTGTGGAGAGGAGAGGAGCTCAGGCTGACCTTTAAAGAACCACACTTAAACCAGCCAACACCCGAGGCACTATTGTAGGTTGCTCCCACTCTGCATCTGTGTGTGTGTGTGTTTTTGTGCGTGCATGTTTCAAAGGTTACTGTGAATCCGCTTCCACTATAAAAAGTTACTGATGTAAATCAATGGACGTCTATGGGCTGCAACTTCATGTTTGTTTTTTAGGGTTGCTTTGGGGACTGAAGACACGTACGTTTGTCGAGATGATGCATCACCCTTTCACACACGCACTTACCTTATGTGGTAGGAAGAGGGAGTTGATTGTGGCTAGAAGACTTGCGGTGTCCGGGGCATCCCTCTGGCCACAGATCACGATCTAAAAATAAAAATTGGAGGACGGTGAGAGGAGGGAAAATATGAAGGAAAGGGAAGAAGGGAGAGGACAGAGAGATAACAAGATGAAAGAGTGTGAATAGAGTGGAATAAGAGGGGAAAGGTGACACATGATAGGAGGGGAGAGGAGGAAGAAGTGATAGAGGTCAGTACTGTATTTGTAGCAGTAACAAGGGAGGCAGGTGTTTTCTCTGGGACCGCCTCACCCTGCCTCGCCCCTGAGCTCGTTACCCTCGCCCTGCAGCCTTGACTCATCCTCCGCAGGTCGTACATGACCGACAGGAGGCTAACTATCCCCCGTCTCTCTCTGCTTCTAGTCCTCTCCCCATCTCATTCTCTGCTCCTTTGATTGTACAGCACATGCCTTCATGCTGAAAGTTTTCTCAGAGTGGCCGAGAAACTTCGGGGCAAGTCCTGCTGTGCTTTGCTAGTATGCTGGTTTGAGGCTATCTGAGGGTGTTAATATTTCAAAACCGATTATATAACCGAGGCTGAACAGCTCAAATAACCCATTAAATGCATGACGGCTGTTAAAAAACAGGGAAAAAACGATCTTGAGAGGTAGTGTGTCTAGGGATTAAGTGCGCATGTATGCAGAGAGCTGAGATAGAGCTACTGTCCTCAGATGACCTAACTCAGTTCAGCTGAGGTAAAAATTATGTATCACACATCTTGTTTAAAAAGGAGAGACCTCGGCAAGTTGAGGTTTCTCCAAACAGGGTCTGAATCATGGTGCTTTGAGTTATAGTATCAGAGTGAGTTAAGATTTTATTGGTGGAGATGTAGCAACCAAACATACATTATAAATTAGTGATGGATGATCTGGCATTTTGAGGTGATGCCTGCACTCGTAAGGCCGATAAACAAACTCACATCTGATGGCGGCTTTTTCAGTGTGGCTGGTGAAGTTTTGGGAAGGAGGTGAAAAGATTATTTTTAAGCGCTGTATTATAACTTTTTTTATCATCGTCTTTTCTAAATGTTAACATGTTTCTCCCAACCCAACCCAAATGACAGCAAATCTAATCTAAAACCGTTGCTGGCAAGCATTTATATTATGTTATAATGTACAGAATAATACAGTTGAATGATGTTGCTTCTGACATACTGTACCCCACTCTCCTTAAATAATTAAATAAAATAGTAATAAAAAATAAAAATGCCATAAAAAACTAATTGTTATTAGCTAGCATAACCTATATAAAAGAAAGTAATGTGCATGGAAGAATGGAATTATATATGATGTTTCTTTGTTTTGATATCTGCATTGTATATGTGCTCTCTAAATATCAGCATCAGCCATTAAAAACACATTGGTTGACCACTATTATAAGTCATATAAAGTGAACAATGTTATCAAAGCTTAAAAACCTGTCAAGTTTCACAATTGCAGAATGTGACCTCTATAGCCTCCTAATAAGTAAAAAACCACTAAATCTTAAGTAAAAACATTCTCACTGTTCACAAGTTAGTTGAATGTTATAGCATCGCCATCTGCCTGATTTCTTCTTCTCAGTAGTAAAGGACATTTTAAACCTACATTATGTTCCATTCCATCTGCTATGAACCATATAGGAATATAGGTAGAAAAAAACTAAAAATAGCAATAATAATATCTAACACTGTCAGTTGAACAGACAATTTTCCTTTTATTGGTCAGACAAAAAAAAAACATTTTAAGCTATGACTTTAGACTCTGGTTAAGTTGTGACTGCTGTTTGTGACCATTCTGACACTTTATAGCTCAAGGGAATTATTTGCTTAATCCTACATTAACCAACTAATTCCTCCGTTATCATCAATACTGAAAAATGCTGACATATGAAAGCATTACTTACTGAAAATATTGAATGGTCTTACTGTTAAAGCGACAAAGTTCTCTGTGGCACTGTGACCTGCTGAAGCAGTCTAGTTTACTTGCACTGATGCATTTTTCTCTTCAGAGCACGGTTATTAACAGCGAGTCAGCAAAGCCCATACGGGGATGTTCATTGTTCCACCAGTCTCTTCCTCAGCTTTAGTTGTGTTGCTCTGTATTGTTTGGCTCAGCTCTTGTTGGTAAATGTAACGTCTATTGTGCTCGCACAATTTGTCAGGCAAGTGGAAACACTTGCTTTCAGTAGGCGGACATGAAAACGAGTTTAGGCTAACAGCCAGGTAAATACACCCACTCCCCAAGCTGAGCTAGCCTTCAGGGCTCACCACGGAAAGCCAGACCTTTCGTTTGATCCTTGTATCCATGTACCTCGGAGCAGAATCTTCAACGTGTGTTAACAGAGATAAAAAGTGCTAGTAGGTGCCAACATTCCGTACATAGTGGCACATCACTCTGCGACATGCTCTCTAAATGTCTGCATAATTAGAAGCAAAGTTTTAAGTTATATCCCACCTACCCATTAAAATACTCAACACAATTGGAAAGAGTTTATCTGGTAACTAAACAAACATGTACCCATCAGTTCATGTGAGTATGTGATTAACCTGTTTGAGTGTGTAGTGCTGGGCCATAAGAGTCCGGACCATTTCCGGCAGTGCTATGGGGACCCTTGTCAGCCGGTCGGTGAAAGCTGCCAGCAGCTGTTGGGACCTCTGGAGCCACTCCTGTCTTCCAGTGTAGTGGGACAGACGCAGGAGATTGGACGCCGACACTGAGTTACCACTGGGCTCGGCTCCGTCCTGATCTGAGAGACACACAGAAAGATACACAACATTTTTACATGTTTTCAATAGTTATAGTCTCAGGCTGGTAGTATACTGTTTCAAAAAGCAACTTCACTACACAGGGTAGTAGTCATATGACCAATAATAATCAGGCAGAATGATAGCACAGAGTCAAAGAGAAGATGCGTGTGTTAAACAGGATGGGTGCACAACGGATATTATGTCTCTACTATTACATTAGACATACATCTTGTAACAAATGTGATGCGTCTGGTCCAAAACAGACTTTCTGTTACAATTTGTCAAACTGCCAGGAAAGATGGCAAGCCACAGACTCCATACCTTCCCTATGACTTCCTGCAGTACGCAATGTCCCAGTGTGTGGCGTGATGTGATGGGACTAACAGATGACCTCATGACCTGGCCCTGTTAAGGGATTGGTCCTTATCTCTTATCAGTGTCCAATGAGAGCCTGGAGGTGATCTTCCCATAACCCATGACCTCGCTAAGTCTGCTTCTCAGCAATGCTCTGATGCCTGCGTCTATGAATGTCTGAGAAAAACACTATTGAATTGCTTTTCAGTCAAACTGTGATTTTGGGTTAAAATTTACAAAGAGCAAAGATAACGCTTCACACAAACAAAACTCTACTGTACACATACAATATTTTTTATGACAAGCACGGATTTACAGTCACATATAGATGCACATGGTGCATGCATGACTGAACTGCAGAAATAATTTCATTTTATCTTGCAGTATGTTTCAGCTCTCCCAGAGCCCCATGGCAAAGAAGCCTCAATACACACACACACACACACACACACACTTACTGTAAACACACACAGAGGTTGAGCGAGCGAGCCTGTCCGCTTTCAACATTTCATAAATCTCTCTTCTTAAAGAGCCCCGTGGAAGGAGGTCACATACAAACATAACTGCGACAAAACTGCTCCCAAACACACACACCTACACACACACACATGCAAAAAGAGCCATGACAAAACAGATTCATGAAAGTCACACAAAGCAATGACAAAATAACTCAGAATCACACACACACACACCTACACACCTACACACACACCTACACACCTACACACACACACACACACACACACACCCACACACACACACACACACACACACACACACACACACACACACACACACACACACACACACACACACACACACACACACACACACACACACACAGAAGGATCCATGACACAAAAATAACACACATACACCTACACAGTTTGTTTTGGGGGGATTTCTGCCCTGAAATGTATTATCGGGAAAATGCCATTTCTTTTAAGTCTGTTATCTCGAAATCACAAGTTAATCATTTTGTTACCAAGCTAACAAAGCTTAATTTATCTCATTAGCACAAGAAAATAAAAGCCTGATTTCTCGAGATGACAAGATAATTATGCTAAAGAAACACTATATCACTTTCAAAATTGATCTCTGTACTGTTCACACTACACAACTATCAGTCTTATAATCGAGGGTCTTGACCGCCTGTGAAGTTGCAGTTGTGCCTGTCTTCTTCTTAAATGACGAGGACTGATCTGAATGTTATCTCCAACAGACATAAATTTCACAATGTATTTATTTGATTATTTATTTCATAATGTTAGAATTATGGTAAATGGTGAATTTAAATTTGATGAGTGATTGACTTTTTGGGTTGAATAACACAGCTGATATATCCTTTTAACCTTTATCTGGGAACACATCTAAATGCATTTCAGCCACAAGACAGAGCAAATATTTGAATAAAGCCAGCTGATTCTTTTGAAGAAAAGTAAAATACGTTGAAAAACAGATACTGTATATCATTTGAACCTTACTCTGCCAAAACAAGTACACAGGGGAGTCTGGCATGGCAGTAAAATGTAGAGTGGCAGTGTGGCGGGGTAATCCGTCTTGCAGTGACAGGCTATGCTGCTGGGACAGGCGTCCACACTGCAGAGGCTGTAGCGTCACTAATGGGCTTCAGCCCTACACGGTGCCGCCGCCATAATGGCACAGTCAATCCTCTCAGATGAGAAACCTCTCACGCGTCAGCTCCGATACACACACAGATGCAGGTGTGACGGCGTGCAGGCACAGGCACTCCTGCGCACACACACCATCATCTCTGATCTGTCAACAGTTCTAAACAAGAATAACTATTAGCTTTTCCCCTGTTCCCCCGCCCATCTGTGCTATCTTTCTCCTGTCTGAACTATTTGCACCAAGCTAATCTGTCACAGGCACATGAGTTAGTGTGAGTTTGATTGTGTGTGTCGTTATTTTTTAGGTTCAAAAAATTCAGAGCTGTGGCATCTGGAACATTAAAACTGACAATCTTACAGATAGCATTCTGAGTTTAGAGTTAGTTTTCTTTCTTAAGCAGAGGTAAATATTAACACATGAACATGTGTTTCAAGCTTGCCAGTCTGAAGCTGACCTGTTTCACAGCAGCCATTTTGACATGAAACAGTAGGGTACATATTAAGGTTTTGTTCCATTCAGGTTAAACAGAGTCAGGGTGCTGCCACTGTGCATGTTGGCTCAATGGAAAGGCTCTGCTACACTAAATGGGACAGGACCTTAATTAGCATCACTCGTAACACCTGTGATTACTCTATTTCATGTTAAAATGGCTGCTGTGAAAAAGGTCTATTGCGTACTCAACAGAGGAGATTCACATGATTTTAGTTAAGATGTGAAGTAAATTTTGGGTTATAACTACTATATGGATTGATGCAGCAATAGTGGAAAAGTGGATAGGACAGATTTCTTCCATTTTCCTAGACCTATGACACAGAAAACCCACAATAAAAAAAAACAAAGCAAAAAAAAAAAAAAATACATGTGTATCCTGTAAAGCAAAGAAAAAAGAAACTGTAAAATCCATCAGGGAGGGAAAAGACCGGCCTACTGGCAGCACTAATGTATTATAACAAAGATATTACACTAAGTATAGATGACAAGAGAACAAGAATATAAATACAAATGGGAGAAGTAAGCTGATAAAATTAATGGTCGCTGTCAGACAGAGTATCTCGAGAGCAAAAACAAAAAGAACCAGGCAACCAACTGGATCCAGACTGGAAACTTTGGTCTGACAGATCAAAGGCAAATGTCTGCATGTCTACAAGGTGTCAGCTTCTCTGAACTGCCAGCGGCCATCAGTTGGAGTTGTGGACTGGCAGCTGAAGAAGAGCTGCCGTGGACTTCAAGGTCAGACCCATTTATATTTATATCACATCAATCTTTTGGTCCCAAAACACTCCTTTAGGCAGGCACTGTGAGGTAATGCAGCATCGCAACATTAAACTACATACTGAATAAAATATGCAGTTATTTGTAAATATTGTTGGTATATATTGCAGTAGTTATACAATAGTTATGTTATTTTCATTGTTTTGCAGATTTTAGCCTGTAACTGATATTGGTGCATCTGTTAACTGATAAGTGACTGCAGTACAGAAATACCTTTACGTTTTAGATATAATTTAGAAACTGACTAGTTTAGTTTTTGACACTATAATGCTTCAAAAATCCAGTATCCAGCAGGCTCCAGTGTAAAAAGCAAGAGCAACAGTCTGCAGCCATGCTAGCAGTTCTGTGAAGCTAAATGCTAATGTCAGCGTGCTAAAATGCTCACTATGACAATGCTAACATGTTGATGTTTAGCAGGTATAATGTTTGCCATGTTAGTTCATGTTCATCCTAGTTTAGTGTGTTAGCATACTAACATGTGCTTATTAGCACTAAACACGAAGTACAGCTAAGGCTGACAGGAATGTAATTCGTTTTACTGGTATTTAATCATAAAGCAAAGGTCAGTGCATTACCAAAGTCAGTAGAATTCTCTGGGGATCATCAATGTCTGTATTTCATGGCAATCCATCCAATAGAGATATTTCAGTCTGGACCATAGTGGTGGACCAGTGTTCAAATATCTAATGTTTCTGTTTACATGACGTGATTACGAATGACACAAGTGGCTTCTTTCAACACACACTTTTGTAAAAAAATAATGTTAAGAAACATATCCAAAATTAAACAGCAATATAAAATAAAAAAGATATGCTTTTTTGCAGGAAGCATATCAAAAACTGAAAAAATATTCTACATACTGCTAATTAACATACGCCGATTATTATAACAAAGTTGAATAGTTTAGTCTTCAAACGTCCCACTGTTATTACAACGAGATTCAAATTTTTGTTATATATTATGCCAGTGGTTTACCTTATTGCGGATATAAGTCAAGCAATGAGGACAACAAATGACATAAAGAAGTAAAGTGCAGCAAAAAAAACAGGGAGAGATCCAGGGTGAATCAAGATGTAAGTGAGATGAGAAGTGGCAGAGGCAGAAAGAGGAATTCAGATTCTCACTATACATTGTCCGTGCTGTTTCAATCTGTCAAAAGAAGATGGACTCAGAGACTGAATGGAGACAGATTTGACAGGTCTGGTGATCAAAGTAGCTGAAGAATCAGGGCATCAGTCTTCGAGTGCTTTCACGGCGGAGAAGTTCAACTTGAGTGAGAGACGGTTGCACTTCACTGGAGGTAGATAGAGGAGGTCAATATTTCTCTGCTCTCGTCTTTTATCCTCTACCTATTCATCCATCCATCCAACTATCCTTGCCTACCTCCTCTCCTGTGGTTCAAGAGTACCAAACAGGCAGAGCAGCAGAAGCTTCCATCATGTTAAGCTCTAGATCAATCGATAAGGTGAAAGATATAGGCAGGAGAGAAAGAGACGGATGATGGATGAATGATTACACCCATTCATTAACATTCCAGTGACAAAAAAAAGAAACAGCCATACCTTCATGATTTTTTTTGTTCATTCAAATCATTGTGATCAAACTGTGTTAATGTGTTGATATTACTAACTGCCTGCAGCGTGTGGAGGCCTCAAACAGTTTTCTTTTTTTTCAGCTGCCCAAGCTATCCATCCTTCAACTTGTCTAAGCCACAGAGGTATGCTGCAGTAGAACTATTAATCCTTCACCTGTCCATCAATTCTTCCCCTGCAAATCTATTAGAGCCACAGCCAGCAGCAGTAGCATCAATACTTTATTTATTTTCTACAACTGGATGGTAACGCTGGTCTGCTGGTCCAACACTTTGGTCCAGACTGAAATATCCCAACAGCTATTGGAACAAAACAATTTCATCCAGATGTTCATGTTCTCCAACGGATGAAGCCTAGTGACATTAGTGATCCCTTGATTTTTCCTCTCGCATCACCACCAGCTTGATTTGCTGTTTTGAGACACACTATTGGATGGATTGCCAAAGAATTTGGTGCAGACATTCACGTCCTACACAGGATAGATAGGAATCACTTTGGTGATCCCTTAACCTTCCTTCTAGAACCATCAAGTGAACATTTTAATTAAACAATTTGACTGAAGCCCTACATAACTATTCATATTCCCATTAGCCTAAACTGTACTTTGTGTCGAGTGCTAATTCGTGAATATCAGCATGTTCACGTGCATGTACTAAAGTCAGATATGAAGTGGTAAATATTATACTTCCTAACATCTGCATTTTAGCATTGGTAATGTAACCATCAGGTGTGAACCTACCGTGATGTCACCCATTGGTTTGTGGAGTATCGTTATGAAGCCTCGAGTTTGACATTATGGCCGTCGACATGTTTTATAGCCAGCAGCAAAAGCTGCTCCTGCTGGCCATTAGAAAGAATGCAAGTTTAAGACATTTCCACATTGGCTTCACTTCACAAACCCTGAAGATTGGTCTACTAATTTATGCACTGTCAATGTGAACATATTAGCATGGTCGACTTTAGCATTTAGCTCAAAGTACAGTTCTGCACAAGTACAGCCTTATAGAGTCTCTAACATGGCTATAGACTCTTTGTCTTGTTTATATGAGGATTATGACCTTACAGATCACAGTGATGTGACACTATCATATCACATTAAATATCAAAAATAATTTTTTCATTTCCCATTTTAATGCTCCAAAAATAAGCAGTTATTAGTTTTGTTTTGTTTTGTTCATTTTCCGATGTTGGATTCTATATTAAATATGAAAAGAACGAATGATACATGGATTCCATTGGCTCATACAAGGCCCACTTTCAATACTGTGTGAAAAGTTTGTTTCAAGATCTAGACTGGTGATATCCATCACCATTCATATATCAATGTATCCACCCTCACCCTCTTTGAGTTGCAGCAGTACAGTGTTGTCACTGGGGTCGCTGCTGAAGTAGCCTCCACCCTGGTCATCCAAGAACAGCTCGTCCTGCCTGAGCTGCAGCTCCTCGGCCCACTGCAACCACTCCGTCTGCAGCGTGGCTTCGTACAGGTCCAGCAAGCCGCATATGATGAAGGCATAGTCATCCAGGAAGCCAGAGATAGGGGGAGATCTGAGGAATACAGCGGGAGAAGAAAGATGAAAAAAAAAGAAGAGAGAAGCAGAAGTAGAGCGAGAATGAGGACAGTTTTCATTAAGAATTCATTGACGGATCAGTGTGAGAAGTGTTGAGATGGGTTACTGTTGGTGAACTAGTTCAGCTTCTTCTTGGGTTTTTTTCTCATGTTATATATACCAAATGCTTGTTTATAATGTCTGAAGAAGATCAAGCAATGGTTTCTATCAAGACAGTACAGAAACCCAGAAGAACTGGCTTGAAAGACTATAAAAAGCCTGAAGGAATTATTTGTGACAGAACAGGGCTACGTTATGATACACTTCTGAGTGTAATCTCTCCCTAAAGCATTTTTCTCTATATGAAATTATTAATCTGCTTTCTCTGTGCTCGTCATACTGTAGAAGACATCAGAGTCATGTATGCATGCACACACAACTGTGTACACACAGTCTTTGTTCCGAGTGAAACAGGACAGTACTTAAACAAATCCGTTGATAGTTGGACCACCCTCTAGCATCAGTGTGCCACCTCTCCCCTCACCTGTCTCTCCATCTATGTCCTGTCAGGTAACTTTTACACCATCTAAAATTTTAATCCCAGAACATCTTTTCATTCACACTTTAGTTCACCTCCTGTCTTCTCTACATGTGGAGTTTTTGTTTATACTAATCTGACTCACTTTTACAACCTCTCTGTTCTCCGTCATTGGTTTTTACTGGATTTATTGTTCAGTCACATCTACACCCCAAGAACAAAACCTGTCTGGGCTGCCACACAGCAGGCCCCCCACCTCCATTTCCCACAATGACACCCAATCTGGGTGAGTGCAGGGAGATGGACGGTGACAGGAAGCCAGATAGTGCTGCCTCAGGCGAGGCAGGTGGCTGGTGGTCAAGAGGCTGAAAACAGGAGGATTCTTTGGAGGAGATGAAGTGCATGAGGACTTTGAGAGGTCATAGCGAGGTAAGTATTCATATCTAGGCCTATCTTTCCCAGACAGACAGACGGAAGTTGACTCATGAGTCGAAAGGAGACAGCAGGTACTCTTGCGCTGGCCTGGACAAGGCCAGTCTACTGTAAATCCAAAAGGGGAAGAATGGATTTGGAATCTGACATTTGGTAAACAAGTTAAGATTTAGAAAAAGGCAAGATTGAAGGCAAAAAAACACACTGGCCCCAAAGGACGTGCGTCAGAACAGCTGCCACCATTATCTTCTACGCAGAACCCCCACACCAGTGCGCTGCATCGCTTCATGCCACTGTCCTATTTCCAGTGTCGCAGTGCCTGAAATTATGAATTGTAATGGTAATTGTAATGGCAAATGGTAACTTTGGCTTTATGCTCTACTGAGCAGGTTTCATAGGAATGAACGGAGCGCTCCATCCAACGCTGTATCCAGTTCCCTTTGTGCATCTACAGGGTGGACGCTATGTGTGACAATGAAAGAGGCAACTGTTCGAAACAGCAATGGCAGCTGCCATAGAGGTTTGCATAAATGCTGGTAGCATCAGTTATATCAGAACTGGAGAGTATTTCAAAGAGAGAGAGCTAAGACCATCACTGAAGGCATTTCTTGATGAAAAAGATGTTCTCGCTCGTCTCGACCGGCTTCAGTTTGATTATGTTTTATGGTTTGTTGATCTGGGGATCTGGTTGATCTTCAATATGGTTTGAAGTTCGCCTGTGATAGATGGTGATAAACAGATTGTTCATCCATAAAGTTCTTCCCAAATGGTTCTGTGTAACACACTATCAGGTTACCTTTGTGGTCCAAGTAAGTATGTAGTGTCTTCTTGCCTACTTCACGTGCACGAAGACGTAACAGGCTCATTACTGCCCCTGAGTGGTCGGAGAGCAGAAAACACCCACTATAACTGCGGCCGGTGAGAACCGCAGTTGTTGCCAAGTTGTGTTTTGTTTTTTGTTTTTTAACCTGAGCAAAACTTTTCTACTTTTGTTACTCACCAAAGAATTTTCCCCCTTCTCTCCCACAGTAACTTGTCACTCCAGCACGATGCCAACACAGAACAAGACCTCACGAGGGCCTCACTGACACAAAACTGTAAAAGCCTTTCAGAAATACTCAGCAGCCTTTTCATTCACACCTTCAATAGTGATTGTGAAATGAGTCATTTCCCTGAGAGCAAAGATAAAACGCCTTGTCAGTCTCCCATATCATAGCACTCAGAGACAGTTTCACAATAATAGCTTCATAATGGTCTCTCATACACTAGCTACTTCACTACGCCCTGAATAATGCTCAGAGGGAGAAATCTATTGGGGCGATATGGGTCAGGTAAACACATCGACTCCCATGATTTTAACAACAGCAGTGACCTTTATGTTAGAGAATAATTTAATATACCTGCTCATGCTGCATAATGTACTGTTTAACTATTATGCTGTGCCATTACATACGAAATAACACATCATAATGTCATGATGAAAAATAATAGGAGAGAGAAATATTTCCATTTGACTCTTTAATCAGGAAATGTAGCCGGTTTGTTTTCCTGTGACAATTTGCAGACCCACGGAATTCATCTCATGTTCTGTATTTCTCATCTAATTGCTCTTTATGGACCTTCCCACACCGAATACTGTATCTTCTGCTTTGTGTCACTGCATCTCCTCTCTCAAATCACTCACTGCATCTCTTAGACTACAGGATACACTCAGTGTTATCAATGGCGAAATATTGTACGTTTAAGTGGTAGGGTGGTGTAACAAAAGACATACTACATACTACACCATCAGAATGCCTGGGGTCAGGTTTAGGGATCAGGTTTGCTAAATATTGGGCTTAGTAGTATTCACAGTGTGATAATTGTTCTAATGGGATCAGCCTGGCGAAAGTTTATATCATTTTGATTGTCAATAAATCCATGAAAATACCATAACGAAGAATGAATGTATCTACTGATATATCTTATTCCTCTGTGCTACAGAATCACTCTGACATGTTCCTTCATTGCTATGAACATGGGCACTGTCGTCAATTTTCACTCAATCCAACATAAAATGTCCTGATGCTGTGCACCAAATAGGAATATAAAGGAAGTGCCCAACAAATGCACTATTACTCTGGTTTGAGTACCATTAGCCAAACACTACAAACACACTAATATGTGTGTTTGATGTATTTTTGGTCTGGAGCTGTTAATTATGATTTTGGTTAGGCCCTTTAGATCCAATTATGGGAAATTTTGAAGCTACATCCTATAATAGTATTCTAGACAATAGTGTGCTTACAACTTGGTGCAACAGTTTAGGAAAGGTCTTTTCCGGCCTCCATGCACAAAGCCATGTCCACAAAGAAATGGTTTTCCTAGTTTGTTTGTGGGTAAACTGGAACACCAACATCAATGGCTGACCTCACTGATAGATCTTGTGGCTGAATGGGAGAAAGTTCCTGCAGCCAGGTTCTAATCGTGTGTGAAGTCTTCCAAGAAGAGTAGTGAGTGTTAGAGAAGCATACAAATGCCTATTGTTTTGGAAAGATATGTTCAACAATCACATATAGGTTAAATGTTCAGATGACCATACTTGTCTACATACTTTTGGCCATGTAGTGTGGCATGAGTTAAACCCATAGCTCACTGTTCGTGTGTATAGCGCGTTGTCATGCGTTTCCAGCAAAAACAAGAGTTTGTTTGAAATAAACAGAGGTTATTAGTTAACATGACTGAACAAAACCTGCAGACAATGACACTTCATCACCAAAGAATCTTCTGACAAACAATCACTGGTAAATTCAGTGCATAACAGCCTGCATATGCATCCAAACATGTTGACAAATCAACTAGGAATGAGTCAACATCACCAGTGTCCCACTAGGACCGTGCCTCCCTCTGGTCCCTGAAGACAGTAGTAAGACTCTCAATCATCCAGTGCCAGGCAAGGCTCACAGAAAACCCATGGCATCAGCTCCTCTACACCTCCACAGCCTATTAACCCAGTTAGTCTCACCTATCATTCCTCCTGGTAAATGAGTCCATGGCCCATATGTGATGTACCCATGTATGGAAACTAAACCAGGATTCGAGAAAAGGGCCTTGGTAAGCATTCTCAATGATGACACTGTCCTGAATTGGACAATTATGAATGAGACGGAACCCGTGGAACAAGGCCAGAGTGTTTAGGCACATGTTCATGCGTGTGTTTAAAATTGTATGTATTTCATCATGTGTGTTGTGGGTCTCCTGGCATATTTTTCTGCTGATTCGGTGGCTTTTAACACTCACTCATTCACAGTAACTAGGGCACAGGGCTGGCCAACAGAACAAGGACACCTGGACACACAGCATGTTTGTGTGAGCGTGTGTGTTTATGCCCTTAACATTTCCAGCCGAATCCACTGGTTGAATGCTACCACCAGCCGATCAGGGAGTTTATTATTGTTGTTACTGTTAGCTGTATGGAGTAAGCTCACTTGTTAAATGTAATGGATAAGAGAAATGAAAGGATTCAAATATTTTGTGTTAACACAGCTACATTTCTGCTAGAGGAACCTGATTTCTTGGCCATAGTAAGTTCAACCAAAAACTAAAATTAGGATAGGTAAGTCTAAAAAATTCTTCATAGTTGATCAGTATGCTTATTGAACTAGGATAAAATTCAAATACAGACAATAAGTAAGAAAAACTGCAAATGCTCCTGCTACAGCCTCTCCTCTCACTGTGCTGTCAGCCCAAAAGCTCTGACCAGGGAAACATCTTCAACGTTGTATATCATTCAAGAGGCATCTATAATCCACTGACAATATAGCCGATCTTGTTTCAAATATACAGTATGTTCAAGGCTAAAGGAGAAATCCAATTATTGACCTGTGCATGTAAATGCAGTTTTACAGTAACCAGGTTACTGCGATGCATGTGAACACGTTCTCTGATTTCCTGCCATAACCTGATTTATCCCAATAGCCTCGTCTCCTGCTTGCATATAAACAGTCATCCTAGCACAGTACAACAACTGCTTGTTGCTGCTGTACTAAAAGTGAAACCCTCCCTTACAGAATTTGTTGCATTATTTCTTCTTGGAGTTAAATGAATGTTCTGGCATTGCCATTGCAGTGCTAGAAATTGACAAAGACAAGACAAGATCAGATCTTACTGCACCTGTAGTGAAATACTACTACTTTTATCTTATCAATACACACTCCGTACACACGTTTGGATAGTCATCCAAAACTGTTCATATATCAGAACCCCTGTTTAAAAAAAACACATTAATTATATTAAGAGTTTAACTCTTAAAACTTCAGCTAATCTGCTTCATGAGGACTGTGTAAGGTTGGGTTGATCGGGTTTGACTGACAATGCCCTGGCAACTAAACGACCCCACAACTGAAAATGTTAATGTTACTAAATCAAGATTGGTGCACAGGAGTGTGTAACATCACGTCTTTCCAACGGAGTTCAAACCACTCAGAGGAGCACAGAAAAAAACACAAACAGAGAAATACAAGTGCGATAAGCAACACAATATGCAATAAACTTGAGCCGAAGGTAGTGTGTTCATATAGGACCCAATCAATCATATAATAACAAGCTGATTGAGAAAATAGTGTAGGTGTTCAGGGCCTTTAAATCTCAACTGCCACATTATCAAAACTCTCCTTACATCTGCTGCACCTCCATTTCGTCTCCACGGTAACAGGATCGGAGGATGGTCTGCTGCTCAGCATCCCACAGGTGCTCCTTTAGGAAGTTACCAGCCTGCGCCGCCCTCTCCAGCAGGGCCTTGTCCCCCAGCACAGCCCCAACACGAGCGTAAGCAGAGAGCATGAGGCCTGAGGGGAGCAAAGAAGAAGTGACGGTGGCTGTGGTGGGATGATTAGGTAAAAAATGACTGCTACTCATCTTAAAACATCATGTTCTCCAGTGTGTCTGTGTGTGTGTGTGTGTGTGTGCTGCAGCTACCACACACCCAGGTTAGTTATTTTTCACTCTTTTGAAGTTCCCTTGTTTTCTCTCATTCCTTCTCCCTCTCTATATCCATCCCTTCCTCCCTCTTTCCCTCCACTCCTCTTTCATGTAGCGTATCAAAGCCTGGTGAGTGCACAGCCCGCTCTTCAAAGTGTTGCGGTGGAGGACAGGTGATTAATGGAGGGGTTTCTTCATTAGAGAGGAGAAGGGGAGTCTTGCATCTAATTGGAAAGTTCTCAGGATCGCAGAGCCTCATTACCTCACTAACACACTCTGTCTTGAGACATCGGGCCTAGGAGCAGGATTTGTGGTTGTATGAGTGTGTTTAGTGTATGTGTGGTGGGCTTTTTGTTCTTCTAATTAATCACATCTGAGACAATGTGCTGGACAAACAATGTTGAGCAGTGTCCAAATTGGCATCACACTAATGGAAAGTGACAACTAGTGTCTCTTTAATAATCTACACACATTTTCACACTGCTAATGATAAATGTCTGTATAAATATTTGTGTATATATATAACCAACAACTTACAAAGTGCAGTATGCCTAGGCTACAACAGGCTTTTATATTTGTCCTTCTAATGCCTCTGCTTGGCATCAGCTTGTTTTTTTTTTAACGTGTTATGGATGTTTTGGGTCTAAAAACAATCAAATGCACAGAACATGATAACCAACAGTAGCAGCCTATTGATACAGAGTCATTTACACCAAAATTCAATTGTAAAATAGTTGCTTTCTAAATCAACTGTCAAACTTCAACAGGCATCATCATCAACAGGCAAATAATATTATCATCTTCTTTACATTGTCATTTTACTATTTACTATATATTTCTGTCTACTCAGCACACACAACATCTATTCTTTATCTGTGGAACAGGTGTACATCAACTATTGCTCCTCCTGACATGTCCTCCCTTTTTGCTTTCCTTATCCAAACTAACGATAGTGCATTGCATGCTATTTACATCATTGTACAGCAAATGTGTGATTTTGGCCAATATAAATAAAATTGACTTGATGTTTAGACAAACAACAATGGAAAGTTATACAAATCAGATTAGGTATTTCAGGGTTTCTATCCCAAATTCAAGACTTTTTCAAGACCTATTTCACGGTAAAAAAAACCCACGAGTTAGCTCAGTCTGATCTCTTCTGAGGACGGGAGAGTGCACGATTCAAAATTGCTAGACCTTTTCAACCCCAATCTCTGAAAATTATTACTTTAATATACCTGTCTTAGTTTTTGCTAAATGAATTGACCACACAGATATCATGTAATTATCAAGCCTATGTTTACCCTTCTGAATGTGCAAATCACCTTGCACGTGTACAATTTAAATTAAATATCATTGGTCTGTTTGGAATATGTTAAATATTAAGTCTGTATATTTGATTTTGCTGAATTAATTTCATATGCAGAATACCTACTCTATAGGGCTTTTCACACTGCACTCTGCCCAGACCTAAAAGCCTTCTTAGAAGCTTCTTAGCCCCAGGCTAATGGAGATGTGAGTCCCAGGTTAAATGTCTAGTGTGTAAGGTTTTGTTGCATCTAGCGGTATAGTTGCAGATTGCAACTCATTCGTTTCCAAAACATGAGGGAGAAACTACAGTGGCTGCAAAATATGCGATAAATGTGAATGGCTCCATCTAGAGCTATTGTTTCGATTGGGCACCAGCTCTACCAGGTGAGCTACCAGGCCATATATTGTGACATATGTCACGTTTTCATTACTAAGATATGGTGATTAATAACATAATACCACTGCCTCATTAGCAATAGCAATCATTTTGTCAGATTGTCTGTCACAAGTCAATGTCTGGTTCAAGTGTGGCAGAAATTGAAACTTTATCAATAAACTGAGGAAAAATATCTCCCTGCACCTACCACAAAGTCACTTGGAAAATGAATATGTTTATTTGACTAAAACAAGATAATATTAGCATAACAGCTTTATTGCTTTAAACTTGTTTAGACTTTACCATTCCAGGAACCCAACATCTTGGTGTCCAGGTGTGGGCGGGGCCGACTCTTCCTCACTTCTGCCATTTTGCCTCTGGCGGAGGCTAGGAGCTCATTGACTTTCTCAACACTGATGCCAAAGTGAGCAGCCGTTAACTCCACTGAATAACGCACGATCAGCACATTCTGGCCCTGCAGCTCCCCATGGGGGTCCTGGCAACATACAGTACGGTGGATAAGAGGGTGTTCACACAAATGAACTCATACTGACTGCAACAGATGTCATGTTAATGCCTTAATGGACCAGGTTTAACACCCTAAATTGCTGTGAGAATAAAATAAAACAAATGATTAAATGGTCTGCATTATCTCTTCAATCTACAGAATTATGTGCTTGACTTTTTGATGAATTTGTTCACATAAGCACCATATCTGAGTCTGATTTTTCTTTCCATCCATTCACGCTTTCATCTCTAACTGCAGTCCAAGCAAAGAATGCAGAGGCTACATAAAAAATAAAAGCACCTGTTCTGGAGCAACATTGCCTTGCACCTTCACTCCATAGTGGTGCATGAAGATGTCTGCCTGCGTGGCAGATCCAGTGGCCCCCTCCACCACATCTGGCAACAGCTCCCGAACTTCTGTGGCTGTCCAGACGCAGAAAGCCCCTTCACGCTTTTCTGGTCCCCCCGATGCTGGGACAGAGTCTGCATCCTCTGCACTGTAGAAACCCCCGGACTGTTTCAGACCACAGGAATGGAGGAGGTGGAAGGAGAAGAAGAAATGCATTTTAATGGCAAGCTTATTTGAGATAAAAATAAAAAAAATAGGGCTCATGAGTAATATGACTTACGTACAGCAGCCCTAAAATTTCCCAATAAAACATTCTGTTAAGTCACATGGTGCATAGATGATCCTATTCGACTGTCAAAGTAGTCCAAAAAAATGCAACAGTCAAGCTTGGTCAAACAAACATATTAAAGACCACTAGCATGACACTTTGCCAAAGAAAAAGCAGCGTTTTTGTTTCATCATTGAATCAAGTCTTTAACATTACTGTTACAATTATCTTCTTATAGCCTATAGCTGGGGAACAAAGTGAAGCTGAGAGGTAGTAATACTGACAGAATCCTCTCAAAGGATTAGGCCTGTTTTGTTTTTTCATGTATTTTGTATTTTATATCAATCCATTTTTCAAGGAACTCACACAGACACAACACATTAAAATACATAAAATTAGTTAAAAGGGTACGTTAAAAAAGGTACGAAACACACAAAATAAATATAACTAGTTCTGAAGACGTGTTTTGAGTACTTATTGAGTAGTTTATTTCATGTGACTCTGTGCCTGGAAAGCTTGTCACTCCCCTGTTGGTTGTGATAACCTATAATTAATCCCGCCTGGGTATACTTATTGTGAAATTGCAATACATGCTGAAGAAGGTATATGTCCTAGAAAGAAAGAAATAAAAATGTGAAATGGAAGATCTTTTTATTTATTTTGCATTTCGAGCATTAAGTTGAAATGTCGAGGATAAAGTCAAATCGGATGTCGATAAAAGTAAACTCATTTGTCTCTTGCAAACTATCTGTGTGTCCATTTTCTGTGTGTCTGTCAGTGCGCAGTCGTTCCAGGCATCCTCCCAAGCGCACAATGGTCTGCGATTTCTTTTGGCCGTTGTTTGTTCTGTAATAAGCTTCCATCTACACAACATAGTGACTAAAACCATCCATATAAACAATGATGGCAATCCCATATGGCTTCAGCTTGTCGTACAAATACATGTGTCATGGCATGTGGAGACCTGCGTCTCAGAAGCCGTGCTTGCCAGAGCTCCACACCTTCAGGATCGATCAACCGTTTTATTATGTCTTGTGATACAACATTTCGTCTATGTACGCACATCCTGCGCTGTGTGTAAAAAGGCACCAATGCGGAAGAGGCACCACAAAAATAGCCTAAGGATCATTAATCATAATAATGATAATGTTATATACAGGGCACTGCGCCTGGTGTTATCATGTTTTACTCTCATTATGGTTGCACTTCCCTGTCCTCTCCTCTGCACGACAGCGAGCGTCTGGCTTAGACACACAGAGAGCAGTAGAGAAGCAAAATTTCCACCTGCTTTGTCCCCAGTTATTGTTACAACCATGCGATGGTTGATCTAATAATGAATAAAGATGTCTATAGTCTGTGTTTATGTAAGTTTGCCACAAATCTGAGAGGACAGGAGGAATAACTGGTACTGACTGGTGTCTGTGTGTATGATGTCAGGGATATTATGCATTTTAGATTTGTTTCCAGAGAGATATTATTGAATTTATACTTGACTTTTCTGACGTTACTGTTAAACAATATTTATATTTAATATATCAATGCTAGTCCAGTTCATATGCTCTAATGCTTCTAGTTTGATTTATTCTCAAAATGCGAAATAAATAAATAAAATCTTCGTCCTATCATTTTTTTTCACTTCTGCATGGCCATAATACTCCTTCATACAAATCTGAAGGCAATCAATGAATCCATCAAAACCTTTCAAGGGTCCGAGAACTGTATATAAAATCATATTTATCTAAGGAGAGCTAAAAAGATCAAATCTGAAAGCAATCAATGAAACAATCTACAGCTTGAAAGGGTCTGATTATACACAATATCATGTAAGCCGTCTTTGATCCTGTATAAACTTTATTAACAGTATTTTTACAGTCATGATAAGAAGTTGAGGAGTCTACCTCTCTGAGGGAAGATACCAGCCATAGTAGTACCAAAGAAACATACAGTCTATAGTAAATTACATTTGCTGCGCTAATTCATTAGCATATAATTACATAATAAATCTTGGGGAATATAATGATTACAACGAGTGTGCTTTTAATTGTGTGCTCCGTTCCCTGCTGTCGACTCATTAATCAAAAAGGAAAAAAGGGCTGACCCTCAGAGGAGAGCAAGAGGTTTAAGAGGCTATTTGTCAGCGGGGTCCCACCCCTTGCCCTCGAGGATATACGAGCGCACAGATGTGCACCCGCGCACACACTGGAAACACACACTTATTATCTCCCGGTGGAACAGTTAGTGTTCGTGCTTTGTCAGCAGCAAGTACAGACGTTATGACAGCAAACTGCCGTTTATATTACTACTTTTTTATGACTCGCCTTTGACAGCATGCATTCCCAAACATTGCATTAATACTAGCCTTAACTTACACCATAACCCAAAGTATGTACTAAATACACTTCTCTTTTGTATCTTTTTTCACATTGGTTACCCAGTGAGGATATCTGGTCCCCATAAAACCAGTAACACAAACATATGCACAAGTCCTAACAAGGCTGCAGATGATTTACCTTATCACTCAGGTCTCTGGTGACGTACAGCAATATGTCCTTAGCCACATCTGCAAAGAGTTGCTCACCTGATACCTGGAAAAGCAGAAACACATAGCACACACACCTGCTTAGAATCATGATTCAACCATTACATAACCTTAAACATACCGCCATGTGATTTATATGTGTGAGTATGTGTGTTTGAGTTTGCCTGCATCCTTGTGTCATAATTAACTTAGTTCACTGTAAAAAACAGGCCAGTCCAGAATACACTTATAAGAAAACTAAGTGAAAACAGGTTAAAACGAATTAAAATTGATCTCCTTTTAAAACATATCTGCATACTTTTGAATTGGTTTAAAAAAACTAAAAACAACAAGAGGCCTTACAACTTACCCAACTGTGATGAGTGTTTTAGCGCCTTCACTGTCATTATGAGTATTTTTATCAAGCAAAATATATATTTTTGCCATGTCTCACATGGATGATTTTTCCATATGGGGATAAATTACTTGGACAAGAGAGACACATTGTCAAACACACAAAGAAGAACACAGACACAGACACAGACACACACACACACACACACACCTGGGATGCAGTTATATAGGCTACAGCCAGCTGAGCCTGGTCGTACAACATCTTTTCAAAGTGAGGAACGTGCCAGGAGGAATCTGTAGAGTAACGATGAAAACCCTGCAGAACAGAGACATAAAGAGAGATACAGTATGTACTTTCTGAGGCTAATATTCACTTAAAATGATCTGTTATAACAACCAATACTACATTGCACTGGCAACAAAGACCTGAAAGGGTACAAATCATCAATATCTTCATATAAAGAGACACACAGTACATCTGTTTTTGTCTACACATAAACAAACTAGGCCTGCAAATAGCGATTATTTTCATTACCTAATCTGGTGACAATTTTCTGCATTAATTGATAATTGCATTGCGTTGTTTTGTACCGGTCCAGAGCCCAAATGGCATTTTGAAATTGCTTTTGAATTCAAACACGTATGAACCTGTGCTACGTGGTCATGGATGCCTCCCAGCGCCATCATACGGAGTGTGTGCAGCGCCATCTGAAGAGCCTCAACCCCCTCTGAGGTGGAGCGATTCACAGACCAGTAAGACATGAGGAACATCAGATTCACTACGGAGGGAGGGAGAGAAATATTAAAAGTCAGAGAGTTAAATAAAGAGAGAGAAAGGCTGGAAGCCTAAAATATGTCCACTGTGGTTCTTGCTGAGTCTACCTGGTGTGGGGAACTTGGGAGCGTCTCTAAAGCCACCATACTCCTCCTCGTAGGAATGAGCCAACTGCTGGAAGCAGCGATTAGCAACATCTGGGGCCAGTGGAGGACTCTCTCCTGGGTTTGCAGCGACGGCCGTGCCTTTCTTTAGTGCTTCAAGGATCCTCTCTCCACTGGACTCCAAAGCAGGACGGTTATTCTGCCACTGAGGATCATTAAGTCATGCTTGTAATATGTAGGGGTGATAAAGTAGTGTTTCCCCAATATTTTTTTTCAGGCCGGGTGGTGTCCACAACCAAAAAACTAAAAAACAAGGAGTGCAAGGTGGCATATTGACACGGTCAGCTTCAGTAGTCTGCAATTTGTATTTGTGTTCAGATTTTTGTTCACTCTGTATATTCAAGACTTAAAACAAAGCTGCACACAGTGTACATTATACATTGCTGAACTTTATCCTCCTTGACCTGCTCTCCTCGCAGTCGGTTCCTGAGATAAGCTTTGTCTACACTCAATTCTTAAATGCAAGGATAGATTTATATTGCTATCAAAAGCAATCATAAGTTGGGAGTTGTAGCCCAGTACCCTGTTCATGGTGGAGAAATCACATACACAGTTCAAACCAGTGTTGTGCAAGTTCACACTTCACAAGAGTTAGCTCAAAGTTCAGTTCACACAGATTAAAATGAACTACTTCATGTTCATAGTTCACAATGTGAAATAGTTCACGTTCATTTCTTTAATTCTTTTTAAATGAGCTGCTTCATAACACACTGTGAGTTTGACTTGGGTGGAGGAACTTTGCAGCTGTTGGCTGGCGGTCTTTTTTTTATGATTTTATGATCATTCACTTAATGAGCTGCCAGTTTTCAACAGTGGTTTCCCACTCTCCTCAAATGAGAGTGAAACTTAAATTCCACGTGGTTCATTGCTTGGCTCTGGAGCTTTGGTGCAAAAAGGTTAATATATTTGGTTGTCCATCCTCATTACAGCTTTTTCTCTTTTTAGGTGGCACCCTAATCACGTTAGCTCACCTGCATCCATACACTAAATTTAAAAGACAAAAAAAAAACAACAAGTGTTGTTTTACAAGTGTTTAAGTAAAGTCCTGTTCTACCTGTTCCATGATTCTGGTGAGAACTGTTTTGAGTCCAGGTCTTCTTGCATGGTCTCTGGGAGGGAAGTAGGTGCCTCCAATGAAAGGTCGAAGTTCAGGGGTCAACCACACACTCATGGGCCAACCTCCACCTCCACTTGTTGCCTGTGGACATTACCAACCAATAGTCATGAGAGTATTAGCAGTGAAAAACAAATTAAAGAGGCCTTCGTGAGAAAACCTAAATGTAAGCACACACACACACACACACACGCGCACACACACACACACACACACACACACGCACGCACGCACACACACACGCACACACACACACACACCTGTACAAAGGTCATGTAGACCTTGTCCACATCAGGTCTCTCTTCTCGGTCTAATTTGATGCACACAAAGTTGTCACTAAGGATTTTGCCAATTTCCTCATCTTCAAAAGACTCCCTCTCCATAACATGGCACCAATGGCATGTTGAGTATCCCACTGATGGACAGAGACAGAGAGAGAGAGAGAGAGAGAGAGGTTTACAGAAAACATTCCAGTACAAGCACATAAAGAAATTCAAAGGGAACTGGTCCCAAAATGAAATGCATGTTAGCAAAAGGTGAGAGAGGCTTCTTACCTGATAAAAAGATCGGTTTGTCTTCATTCTTCGCTTTGTCAAAAGCCTCCTGTCCCCATGGATACCTGAAACAAACATGATATTAGTTTACATATGACATGATATCAGCTTTTAGGAATGTGTGCCTATCTGTTTAAAGGCACTCACCAGTCCACAGGGTTGTGTGCATGCTGTAGCAGGTAGGGCGACCTCTCCTTGGCTAACCTGTTGGTGTGTCTCTGAGGGGAAGATGATGGCCCTTCACCCCCTGACGCCATGCTCATAAAAACAGACGAACTGGGCACACAAATATATTTACAATTTTAGTTGCTGTTTGTTGGCAGCAATGTAAAGAAGTCTACAATAGTCAGACATCTTATAAAAAGGTATATTTTGTGCGCCCTTAGTTACTCCAAATATATCCCATACAGCAGGAAATTAAGGAAGGAGCAGGTTTTTTATTTGATACCTTGGTGCTTTAATACCTCTGCATTGCAATTGATGATGTTAGAAACGAGTGTATTCCATTAAGGTGTTCCAGTTATTAGTCATTAGCACAGCTGTGATTTTTCTGCCATGATAAGTCAAACTGCCTGCTGTCGAAAGGCTTGACCAATACAGAAAAGGGCAACATTTACTGTCGATGTAATGTAAACTAATTAAAAAACAAACCTTGTTTTGACAACGTGGAGCCAAGCTAGCTGTTAACTCTGCGACATTTGTCCGCCTGAAGTTGTTTTAACCAGCGTAACCACCATAATATTAAAACGCAAGGTTATCACGCTGACAGCTAGCTGACACTGAATAAGCTTTTTAGCAGCTCCCTGCTACAGCTGCAGCAGCTGTCAAACACTGTAGCGGTTAGCCAATGGACAGTCATGTCGACTCCCATTTGAATATTGGCTAATTTGATGTGACTTTGCTTTAAACAAAGGTTAATGCCTCGGGAAACCTTACTGAACACAAGTTCCGATATATTAGACTATTTCTTAAAATTCGGCTGAAATAGCTATGGCACTTTGACACATATCTAGCTTTTATGTGATTGTGTACATGTAACCCAAGGGCACTTAGCTTGATATAACCGTTAGCAGAAGGAGGTCGTGGAGCTACCATACAAACCAGCTAGCTAGAAAACCTGACAAATTATTAGACAAAAGTGCTGCTTGGTGCTTTATGTAGTGTTACCGAATTAAAATACGAGGCATCTGGACCTTCTTTAAATGTCTTTACTCATACGGGCATGTCTCCTGGCAATAGATAAGCTGGGGACATATTTATTTGTATGCTTTCGTAATGGAGTTTCGCTTAACTCCTCTATGCGTCTAAAACCACGTCTACACTGGTCACGGCAACTACCGTGTGGCAAGAAACACAGCACCTATCAACATTTGACGTGCCATGAATTATCGTCGTCAGACATGTTCACTGCCACATCTTGCGTTAGCGTTAGCAACCCATTAGCCGTGGTGGCTTTACCTGAGATAGTAGGCCGGCTGGGGATGGTGCAGGAGCGGTGACTTGTCGCTTGGTGGGTGGGGAACTTGTCTGAACCACCTCACGTTACCCCCCGAGTGTTGATGTTGGCTGTCGGCGCTCAAAAAAGCTGCAGTTAAAATGCGTGCAGGCTCCACGCGGCTATTTTTGGACGCCGACTGACGCCATGCTAGTCTTAACATCCTAATCCACCAAGTGTGTTGCTTAGTTACTGTAGCAAGCTAACGTTAGCTACATTGTTGAAACCAGAGCAGCCAAAACTTCCAGGGCATGAGGGGGAACACTTTATTGCAATACCATAAATTGACACACGATGGCGCGCCAACAGGCGAGGTAAACTCAGAACAAATACAGTGTGTGTTGGTTCTTCTAATCATACATCATTCATTGAGAGAGCAAGAGGGTGAATTTGTTGTAAAGGAAAAAAAGAGTGAAATGACAATTCTGACTCGTCTAAGCATAACACAGGTGGACTGAATAACAGTAAGGGCTCAGTTCAAGTGCCCCAGTAACAGCAGGTTCTTCCCCATGTGGAGTGCAGCTATAATGAATACACCTGTGAGTTTCCTGCTATGACATGGCAAAAAAACCTCCATTACTTTAAAAAAAAAAAAAAGAGAGAGAGAGAACAAACTGTTTCCTCTTTGCTTCAATTCACACACGTTTTGAAATGTTGAGCTTGACAACCGTTGGGACAAAGTCGCCATAAGTCGCCAGGTCTGAGGCGACAATGTTCATGGGTGTTTTGCCAGCTTGCACTGTGACCCACTGCAGCAGCATCGGCAGGCTCCTCCGTACCACGTTGAGAAAGTTGTCGAAAAGGCGAAGGGTGTACTTGAGTATCCTGGCATTGTCTGGCAGTGTCAGGTTCAAGCCACACACAAAGAAACCTGTTGGTCATGAGAAGGGGATACAAAAAAAAACTCAATTCTTAGAAGAGAATATAATTTTCTGAATGGGTTGCACTTTAATCATCATGCAGAAGATAGAGATTATGAATGAATGACCAGCCCTGGTCTGGTATCAAGCTGCAGGGGCAGAGAAAACTCACCATAAGGCTTTCCTTTTTTCAACTCCTGTTGAAGTTTAGATTCAACTTCTGTGAGGTTCATACTATTGCCATAGTAATACAATATTTTACGCCAGAGCTCAGGGTCCTGACTTGCTGCATAATCATACGAAACTATGACGTTTCTGCCTTTGTCCCAGCAGCTCTTCAGGGTAGGGATGGCCTGTTGTGATACATAAAAAGCATTTGTTTTGAGAGTGGTATAAGCTCAAGTTCTTTTTATTTGACAGCCATCGTAGCTTACAGTAGACTTTGATATATTTGACTTCTTGATCTTATTGGGAAAATTCAGCATACTGTACCCCTTTAGGGATGAGTTTGGCTCCGAACAAGGTCTTGATGAAATTGATAAGATGGGTGTGGAGCTGCTTCTCAGTGCTTTTGTCGAACCCTTTGAAGTGGGAAAAAGCGAGGATGAGGATCTCTTTGGGGTGCCTCCCTGCCCAGTCATTTATGTCCTTGAGTACAGTCTGATCACAATGGCAGAATAGTAGTTCTTAATACAGTACCTCTTTTACTTATTTAAAAGAAAAACATCTTCATTTGAGTGGATCATTGGATTATTTTAGTGCTCATAATAAAAAGTTAATGCATGGTCAAATATAAAAAACAGCCCATACAAACCAATAGTAATACAGTAGTTATTCAGTTATTCTGATTGGAGTTAACCTTTTGTGGATATGCATAATATCATATAGAGCCTGTGAATTTCCTTGTAATTCTTTTACTGGTTACAAGCAGTATCTGAACTGGAACCTAAAAGGTACCAGTACCCTAATTCACCTCAACCCTAATCCTAAACACAACATAACTCTAACTTTTGGTGTTTTTATATCCATTTTAACATGGACATTTTCAGTGCTGTTTCCTTTTAGGAGTACCTCGCCAACATAGCTGTAGGTAGGGCTTCCAGGAACTTTCCAGGAGCAGTTTGGGGGTACGTGTCAAAGCATCAAAGTAAAGTCATGTTTTGGCAATTATTGCAGAAATGTTATTGTATAGCCCTGGGAAAAAATCCCCAGGACTCAATACATGGGCATGCTCCATCAGGTGAGCTACCAGGACACCCTTTTCAGGCAGACTTTATTTTGACAGTTTACTGTATAGACAGGACAAAATGTACTTCTAAATATTTATTGTTTTATACATAATGAAAAGAGGCAATGTTCTTACCTCCACATCAGTCCGTGTGCACAGCCCATGGTAAAAGTAAAGCCTTGTGGGGTTGGGGTCATTTGGCTTGCGAGCAATCCTCAGGTCAAAATAGCGAACTCCTGCATCCAGTTGCTTTGTAATGGTCTCCTCCTGCATTACAAGCCACTACAACAGTCAGACATACACTCTCTATTTATTTGAATGTACAAGTGCATACTGACTGAGGTTTTTGAACACCATTTACCTGAGTCATTGCCCATTTGCGCACTATTTTACGCGCGCAACAAATCTTGCTGAATTTTTTCAGTCTATCAGGCTCTATTATAGAGGAGTTGATGTCCAAGTCATAACTCATTGAGTCGTGGCTACCTGGGAATTACCAAACACACACATACACACACACACACACACACACACACACACACACACACACACACACACACACACACACACACACACACACACACACACACACACACAGTGTCATAGCAATTTTACTATTTTAATAGCATGTCTGCAGACTTTTAATCCCGTTCAGATAAATGGAAGGATAGTTGTTACTGTACTTTATAAAGCGATAAAATTTGCTTCACTCTTGAACTTAATAAATTATTTAAAAACAAGCCTCAGCCTTGCTTCTAATTTTGCCCAGTGGCCACTATTGCAGTGAAAAAATCCCCTGAGACCCAAAAACCATTTTCCCCACCATTATGACCATTGTAAAACCGACGTCTGTAAAAGGACACCTTGAAATGCAAAATTCTTATTGGACTGAATAGATACCATCTATGGGTCCAGTATCCAGCTTTAATAATACATCCATTGTTTTAGTTCAGTGCAGTAATGCAGCAAAATAAGCAGTAAGGCTGCAATATTTCAGCTTCATACCTGGTATGGCTAGATCAGAAAGAGGAACGCTGTGACGATCAGGTGGTAGTTGCGACATCCAGTCACCGTAGCTTGTGACTTCTTTTGTCCTTTTGCCTTTTTCTGCAGACACTGGCATCTAAAATTCCACATAAAACAACTCAAAGTCAAGCCTCAATTTCCTACTAAGCCAGTAGTTTGTAGCAAAAAAACAGATATGAAGGTCAAAATTTTAAAGGAATAGTACTTACCCTGCCAAGGTGATGCCTTCCTTGAGTTATGTATTACCTCAGATGTGACAGTGCAAAGTGTACGAACAACTGATTTTGTCTTAAACCTGATAAGTCTTATGGTACTCTTCAAGACACTCAGTATTCAAGTTACCAACTCAATAGCACCGTGGTAAAAGAGCAAGTGTATGTGCTGTTGCTGGTTTAACAGGTTTTTCTTACCAGGAAGTACTCTGTATGAGGAAATCTAAGCATAGAATTGACACTGAATGTTTGATGAAGGTGATATGTAGTGATGGTGATGCTTCCTCATACCAGAAACATGAGTCCTGTAAATAGGGTGAGCAAAGAAACTTGACATGCTTCTGACCTTCAGTTGTGGACCAAATTCAAGATTTAGTTACTAAATCAATATAGATTTTGGTTATCTGACATTTCCGTCACATTTTGGCAAAAGGGTAAATTCTGTTGTTAGCATGTTCAACATTGCACTGTGTTTTAAATGCTTGTAACTGGTGGTCAAATCATGATAATTAAAGTACTTTCTATCACACAATTTTAAGCGCATTACATTGCATAGCTGATACTTTTATCCAAAGCAACTTACAATAAGTGCATTCAATCATGTGGACTGTGCAACCCAAAAATTGCAAGAATCATGCTAGTATAACAACATCATCACATCTGCTGAACTGCTTCAAGTGCTACATTAAGAGATAAAGAAATAGTTAAAATAATTGAAACCAGACTGGAGGGCATCTATAAGGTTGCTCTGGTGCTCCACTGTTTTAGAAACAAATGAAATAAGAGAGACAGGTCTGTAATAACATACAGTTGTATTTATGTCTGACTATTAGACTATTAGAGTTAATAGTAAAAGACCAATTTAAGACCAGGATGAACATTGTTTACTCAGTGGTGACCACCAGAGGCACCTGTCACTGAATTAAAGCATAAGATGAGGTTAAAACCTTTGGAAGCTGGAATGGTCCTTTGACCTTGGTTTTTTTGTTGCGTATATACTTTTCCCAAAAAGTCAAGAATTAACTTAACTAATTAAGAATTTACATTCATTATTTTCAAATGACAAATTGACTTCATAAGCAATAAAACACACCAATATAATCAGAGGATTTAATGCTACAGTCTTACTCGGTTTGGTGTGAGCAGCAGCTTATGGTGCCAAATGTTTAATAATATTAGCAACATTTCTTCTGTGTAACATTACTCATTCAGCTCGCTGACTTTATGACTCTTCTCCACTTCCTCTGCTTTCAACACTATGTTTTAGCATTTACCATTATCCCATAATTGTGTCTTTAGGGCAACATGAAGGAAAATGAAAGAAGTGTAATTTAATTTGATCTTAAATCTGTTTGATGAAGCAATATGTGTCATGCCTCGGACTCACAGATCCGAAAAAAACACACACAGACTGGCAGAAGGAGAAAATCCCCTCCCTGCAGGTGCTTTTTTTTTTTACATCAATGTTGCAGAAGAGGAGCATAATCGCTTATTGACGTGAGGAGAGAAAAATCAGCTCCATTCTCCATGTAGTTGTTTAGCATTGACAGGGATGGGTTTAGTTGATTTAACTCTTTTTATTGGATTTAAGAAATCTTAATAATTTACAGGAGAAGAAAAAGATTTGAGTTGTTGCAGTAGCACTGAAAACCATACATGTTGGAATCCTACTATCGCACTAAGATGTATACAGGATTGTTGCAAGACTCTTGGGGCAAGGCTGACTCAGGCTGACTATTTACCCATGGCCAGACATAATCTTGGCTCTGCTGATAATAGTACTGTCTGACGAAGACATCACCCAGTATCCACTTCCATTGAGAAAGCCAGTAAGGTAACCTTAGTGTTGAGTCTGTAGGAGGGATTCTGGAGAAGAATTTCAGATGGAGGTGAAGCGGAGTGAGGTGAGAAAATACAAAGTCTGGCAGGGAAAACAAACACACCTGACAGATGCGGGGAGGGTGAATTCCTGTCCATGGATGTGGAAGGTCACAGCTGGCATTTGGGCAATGTTGCAAGTCACCTTCACATACTTAATATAATTTAATTATAAACTGACAAGTTAGTCGCCTCAGCACATGGTTCTCAGCAGTAACAGTGTTTGATGCTGTTATCTTGTTTTACTCTTTTATCAAGATATTTTCCTCTAGATAGGTACTAATATGTATTAACACTGATAAAATATTCATAGAGCTGTGTTATAATTTCAACTAAACACATTAATAACACAAGTGCGCACAGAGTTGTTATAGTAGAACACTGTCTTCTGGTCATAAATAAAATGAAACATGCACTCACTTTCAGACCATATGGTCACTTGTCCTTTTTTGTGTGGAGAGTAAAATATACACAGTCTCTTACAAAACTATATCAGCATATGACCAGTAAGTACACTGCTTACTCAGCGGGGACCACCAGATGCCCGCCAGTGGGATATAACAAGCACAGAAGGCAGATAATGAAAAATTAATTTAAGATAATGAAAACACAACAATTCTTATACACTGATGAATACATACCTATAAATATTATATTGCATTTCTGCCAATAGAACCTCCTAAATGTTGCATACTGGACCTTTATGTACGCTGCCATTTTACACTATGTTTTAGCATTTACCATTCTCCAATAATTGCCACTTAAGTTACATAGACTCACCCTATGTATGCTAATCAATATGTAACACATGCTTTAACATACAGTATGTACAAACATCTACTACATAAAGTTGTTCTGTTGTGTGTTTGTATGTACTGTCTTTGCATCAACGGGTGTGTTACGTTAGGTTGCTATCCTTAATGAGATGTTACAGTAGCTTACCATTGACACAGATTTAGAGTCAGTGAACAGTGGAACTTATTTAACTGTTTTTATTGGATTTAAAGAAATGCAATAATAGACAGAACAAGGGAAAGTCTTTGGTATTACACATCATTACAGTAGCACTGAAATCCTACAATTGCACTAAGATGCATACATGATTGTTGCAAGGCTCTTGGGCAAGGTGACTTCAGCTTGATTATCTAGCCTTGGCCAGACCCACCATATTCTGGGCTCTGCTGAAGATGGAATAGTACTGTCTGATGAAGACATCACCCAGGATCCACAAGCTGTCCCCTCCGTTGCCAAAGCCAGTGCGGCAGCCAAAGTATTGAGACTGTGGGAGGGATTTAGGAGACGAATGTCAGATGGAAGGGAAGTATAGTAAGACGGAAAAATACAAAGTCTGCCAGGGAACCAAACACTTACCTGACGGACATAGGCAGAGGCAGGGAGGGTGAATTCCTGTCCGTGGATGTGGAAGGTCACAGCTGGCATTTGGGCAATGTTATTGCAGTTGACAACATACTGAGAGCAGAAGAAAGAAAGAACATCAAAGTTTGGTTCTATTGTTAAATTTCCAACTCAGTTAAGTTGAATTTTACTCAACGTGAAGCAACAGAAATCTCATTCAGTCAACCTGCACGTCTTTTTTGGCACTTACATCTCCATTCTGGCTGCTAGCTCCCACCATACTGTTGATGTTGCTGATGCTGCTCTGAGGTCCAACAACCAGAGAGGTACCAGTGTCCACAATAGCTTGGCAACCACCATTGCAAGCCACAACCTGACCATTGACGGTAACACTGAAAGGGACACACAGTACAGCATATCTCAGACAGATATAAAAAACCTTTGCCTAAAATATCAGTTTGGTTTGGATACATTTTGGAGGACCTGTGATGCTGTGTCTGTGGCGTTACCTGTCCACTGTGATCTGCCAGTACAGCTCATTGGAGAGGGGAATCCAAGTGATGGAACCATGATAGTGGTTGGAGTCAACACCACCAAAGGTCACCACACTGCCTTGCTGACTGTTACTACAAAGGAAAGCAATAACTTACTAAACATATTAGAAATCAGTTGCTTGCTCAGTGTAAGTAAACATTTGTAGATCAACAGTTTAATGTCCAGACATATTTCCCTTCTGGGTAGTATACTGGAAAGCCATGGGTGTCCTTACGAGCTCAGGTAAACAGAGAAGAGGTCCTGGTTGACCAGGCCTTCATTCATCATGTTATCGAAGACGGGTGTAGCGTGGGAAGCAGACAGGCGTGGGTACGCCAGGCCCAGGATACCATCAGCACGCATATACTGCATGAAGGGAGCCTCAGACTTACTCATGCCGAAGATCTGGTTTCTCACAGCGAGCCCACCCACCTGACAGACAAACACAAAGACAGTACAGGGATTAAAATCAGTCTCAAATTACATTGGAATCTCTTCAGTTGCAATATCTTCCTCATTTGCTTTTTTCTCTCTCTTTTTTTGTTTTTAGTTTATTGACATTTCTAGTAACAACACAAGTGAATATGTCAATGCAAGCCAAAAGGAAGGAACGTGGGTACCTTTTGGCCTTGAACATGGTGACAAAAAAAGTAATAATCAGTGCCTAAGAACTATGAATAAATATTAATGTACCAGTTAAAAGGGACTCTATATGCTTTTATTTCTCATTTCTCACCGTCACAGTGTCGTATCCAAGGAATCCAGTCATGCTGCCAGTGCCATACTGGATACTGAGAGGACTGCCATTGTGTCTGTAGGTGCTGCTAAGTCCAGGGTTAAACTTGTCATGGTTATCTAGGAAGGTACACATGAAAAAGTTGTTTATATTTAAGATGGTTACTAAATATCAGTCGAGTCATCTAACATCTGTCTGCTACATGTGTGGTTTATATGTATGTATAGTTTTACGTACTGCAGGCTGGGCTGTTGCAGTAGATGGAGGGCACCCACAGGTTGGATGAGCCGGTGTCAAAGACGACCTTGAAGGACTGAGGAGGAGTTCCAATGGAGATGATTCCATAGTAAGCCAACTGTAGATGAAGAGGAGACACAGAGATTATTCAGATACCAAAAACCACTAAAACGAACTTCTGTTCATCTTTCTGTTTAAGCTTTAGCAGCTGTTACTCACATCAGCATCGTTGGTCATGGGCTCGTTGCCCACGGCAAAGCGGTCGTCAAACTTGGCCATGGGGTTGTAAGGGTACTTCAACCTGTACTCCTCCCACAGACCTTGCTCCTCCAGGAACTCCCTGGCTGTCTTACCCTTCTCCAGAGGGACCCTAGGATTCACCAAAGGAGCAACTTAATAAGTCTTTTATTGACCTGTAAAGAGGTTTTTGCTCATGCGTTTTTCCTCTTAAACTTCTCACTACTTGTGCATGAGGAAACATGACGGAAACATGATGGAGGCATTCTCCTGACTCAGCTGCCTTCACTTAAATACTGATTTGCTCTTGAGCACAGTACATACACATAGGCCTGACACCTGCTCATTTAAATGTAATAGCTCTCCAGTTATTTCAGAGGAGTTAATGAATTTTGGTAGTAGTAGGTAAATCTGTACAGGAATGTGTTAGAGTGTTAAGTCTGACTTACTGGATGAGGCACTCAGATAGTGCCACCATGGCACACACAACAAAAGCCCACTTCATTGTCACGACTCTGCTGTCAACTGTAAGAAAATTAATTTCAGTCAAACAGAATCAAGCTTGTGTCATAAGGTTGGTCACATTACAGAAGTATTCAAACTGCAAAACCGCAATAATAATACAGTAGTTATATGATCCTGAAGTATACTCACCTGCAGACTCCCAAACTTGAGTGCCTACAGACAGTCATGCATCCTCTTTTATACAGGTGGACTGACATTTTACTGTTGCACATTGATAAGGCAATGTACACACACGTGTGATAAGTGAAGATAAGTAATGGACAAAATAACAGTTGACCTCAAGACAATGTCAATTATGTGATTAAAAGAAGGAACACAAACTTTTGGAAAAAGCTTGCATAACTGCAGCATAATATAATATTTGTGTTCATGTTGAAGCTACTGTTGATAAAATATTATAGAGCTGTGTTATCATTTAAACTAAACACATTAATAAAAACACAGTTCACACAGTAGTGTTATAACAGGACACAGTTTTCCTGTTATAAATAAAATGTTTGAATAAATGAAACTTTATACCATTGTCAGACCATAATGGTCACTTGTCTTTATTTTTCTGAAGAGTAAAACATCCAAAGTCAATGTAACTATATTTACAGGCATGTAGTACTGGTGTAGGGAACAACATTATGTACACACAATTAGATAAAAGTGAGAACTTGGGTCACAGTACAAGGACCTGGCTTACTAATGTCTATCTGTGTATGTTCAACAGGCATTTTGGCTTGAATAATGATCAGAAAAATCGCTTGCACATCCATTATTGGTTTTGCACGTGTGTTCATTAGATAGGAGTTCATTATTTAGTAGCAAAGGAAATTCCTGCATACTGTTTAGCATCTAATTTACTTTGAATGATCTCATACACTAATGAGGCAACATTAGGACTGATTCAATGAATGAGTTATGTTGAAGTGTGGTGTGCTAAAATCTTCTTTTCTGTGTGAATTAGTTAGCAAATAATTCAAAATTGAAATTACTGCTACTCAAAGCTTCCTAGTTGTTTTTCTTTGGAAGAAGAAGAATCTTAGTTGAAGTCCATAAATGGTGTCTATGGTAAGCCCTCGACTAGTCTTGTTTTATGGAGCAATATCTAAAATGGTACTCCAGCAATTTAGAATTGTACTTCCATGAAGTTGTGAGACTTGCCAGACTGGTCTGAATCAATGCAGCAGAGGCGCTTTGTAGCTGCACCATTACAGAGATCTAGTCAGAGCCTCTACACAGTGAGAGTAGGATCTGTCAACTATAATAATTTCCAGTGTAAACACATGGTTAGTCTTGCTCAGTCTCTGATCCTTCAGAGATCCAAGCCTTCCTTTTCACAGGGACTCCATCACTGACATATCCTCTTAACCCTTCTTCACTCCTGGGTCTGGTATTAGTGAATGCAAAATGGGAGCAACATGGAGCAACCCCCCCTTGGGTCAGTAAGATCCTCTGAGCTGCATCAGCTGAGTGAGAGCTCCCAGAATGCCAAGCTCTTCTCCTGGGAAGCCTTCCAAATCCAGGAGAACCTGCAGGATATAAACCATTGATCCCAGAAGCAAGCTTGGCTGTTTCAGAAGTACGGTTGTTGCTAGATGCTTGAGGCTGGAATGGTACTGATTCAGACTCAGAGTAGGTCCTACGTGTACGGGGAAAGATGCAGCTTGATGCAGCAGAATAGTGAAGTGCGGAGGGAGTAAAAGAAAATGATGATGGAAGGGAGACTCGTGGCTTGGGGTAAAGAAAACCTGTTTTCCTGTGCCTAATGTCTCCTGTTTGCCTTCCTTCTCCTTCCAGTTCCTTTGGCTTTGCTGACTCTCTGAATCTTTCTGCACCTTTGTCCTCGTTACTGATCCACCTCTTTCTTCTTCTTGTCTGAGCCTCTTCCAGTTTCATTTCCAGGTTGTGAACGTCATCAGTAATCTGGTTGACCTGATCAAAATGAGATAGCAGTGCACTGACACAGGGCAGAAGGCGGTCCAGGTGGGGCTGGACGTCAAACCCAGGCTCAGACACTGACGAGTCCTCAGACCTCACAGAAAGAGCCGAGGACAAGGGACAGGGGGATGAAAATGAGGAGGATAAGGAAGGCGAATGGGAAGAGCGGAGGGTGGAAGACAGGGTGGAGAGACGGGAGTGCTGTGAGGACCTGGAAGGAGGGATGTCCATACCTTGGAACTTCACCCTGTGCCTGAACTAGAAAGGAAATGAAAATATGTGGAATCAGCATCAACATGTAAGCCTACTGACTTTGCAAGTTTAATTTACTCCACAACTAATGCACTATCTACCTCTTTAGCTTTGGTGAGTCCCATCCACAGTTTGAGTCTCTTGATGAAGAATTCCACCATCTCATAGTCCTGAGGTTCAATGGTTGGACGGTACAGTTCAGCCTTCTCTGCCCTTGAGGGCACAGCAAAAGTTAGCAATGAGACCTACTTAATGCAATATTTACCCTAAAAAACTTCTTGGTGGCACTCTGCTAGGGGGAAATTTGTAGTGTTAGTAGCAATCTCACTTTCAATTTAGCATGTCCATTGGCAAAATTATGATCACACTTTTTTTTTAGTACAAGTATGAATTGCAATCACTTTGGTGACCTCTTTATTTAACACCCCCATCAGATCAAAATCAAATCAAATGAATTTGTCCAATTGTTTTATGACCAAATACCTGCCAAACTACTGATGTTGCCATTAGCCTCAGCTGTCTTTTGTGTTTAGTGCTTATTAGCAAATGTTAGCACACTAAAGTAAGCTGGTGAACATGGTAAACAATATACTTGCTAAATATGAGCATATTAACATTGACATTGCAAGCATGTTAGCATTTACAGCCTTATAGAGCCACTTGCATGGCTGTAAACTTTACTTTCCTCTACATCTGAAGAACTATATACGTCCTCTTGCTTAGACATCTTTCAAGTACTTAAGTCACTCCACCTCCATGAATAGTTCAGCCAGGCACAAAAGTCACAATATAGTCACATGCTCCATACACCCTCCAATCATGTATGCCCATGACCCATTTCTGACAATAGGCTCCATATAAACATTTAGCGCTCATTCAGTATGCACACAACAATGCTGAGCTCTGCATCCCTGCTGCTACACTGCTGCCAGCTTTCAGAAACTGAACTCCCTCCACCTTCACCAGCCACTTCCTGTAATAACATCTAGTTGTACATGAATTTTGAAAGGGGGTTTGTGAGTTCAGGGACAGTCTGTCCAGAGCATCACATGAGCAGAGCCACACCGCCAGACTAAAATGCTTATTGGATATGCACATTGTCCTGTGTCACTACTGCAAAATTTACACACCAAACTTCCAAGATTTTAGTGCAGCTAGGAAGTTGTCATGTTACACAAGGATGGACACTGGAAGTTCTTGTTCAGGATACCATCAGCACGCATGTACTGCATGAAAGGAGCCTCAGACTGACTCAGGGATTTTTATCCACATATCTACACCACCATACTACAGGTAATATTGTGTAACATGCAACATTGTGTACCTGTATGTACGGATGAGAACAGCTCCACAGAGTCTGGCCAAGAGCCAAACACCTCCCCCCATCAGTAGTAACCCATAGAGAGGGCCCAGCACTGGGTGGACCCTGCATAGTCTTTGGAGAGCCATCCGGCCACGCAGGATGGACAGCACGGAGACACCGGTCTGACGTAGTGACAGGAAACCTTCCACTGAATGAGAGAAGAGCTGAAACAAAGACAGAGGCCAATCAAATACATTTCTTCTCTATAAATATTCCATTCAACTGTTCTTCTCCTACCGTGTTTCCGAGGTGAGTGCAGAGCAGCAGCAGCAACAGCAGTAGGACAGTCAAAGCCCACAGCTCCCTCCAGGCTCTCTGCAGAACTCTGCCTAACACCACCCACCTCCGCACAAACTTCAAGGTTCCCAGCAGCTGAAACACCCAGCAATGAAATTAGTAGACTCTGCAAATAGAGTGGGAAACTGTGGACCGATATAGAGTTGTGCACTGATGAAGCAGAGCTCTCATTACCTTTAGAACAAGTAGCATGAGCAGGATAGCCGCACACTGAGAACACCTCTGTGACAGGAGGGCAGCACTGTGGAAGCTGATGAAGTTGTCTGGGTGGGACTGAAGCTAAATGGTACATAAAAGTCATAGTAAGGTCATCAATGCGACACATAGAATAGTCAACTCTGTGAAGTTATAATGAATGAATATAGGGTTAGAGTTGTATGTACATGTACTGTAGGGGCTTAAGCATTTGCCTTGAACTCTGCTAATTTGAACTACAAGGACAAGGGAACAAGTGAAGCACTGACACTAACTTTTTAGATCTAGGTTATCAAACTATCGTTACTCCAGATCAAATTTGCTAACATATAACAAGGGCCTGCACAGTTGACACTGTTTTGTTTCTTACTTTGGAAACACAGGAAGTGCCCTGGGCCAGGAAGCAGAGCTGCAGGATAGCCGTTGCCAGGGACAACAAGGCCAGGAGAAGCTGGAGCCAGTGTCTGAATTGACACAGATACTGGGCACGCTCAGTAGCCACGGACCACAGTTCTCCAAACAAGATGAGGAGAGCAGAGATGAGAAGGAGAGCCTGCGGGATAAAGCAAGTGGATTTTGTCACTGAACTTAATTTTTAATCATTTGCTTGAGAATATGTATTACTCCTTATTTCTATTCCTTGTCGATTTGAAAGGATTGCAAGTGTTTGTTACCGTAAGTGCCACTTGCAGATCCAGTCCAGAGAAGGATGAAGGGATGAGGAGTGGATGGATGGAGAGAAAGGGGATGACTCTCTGTGTCTGCGCCCACTCTAGTTGTATGGACACACACACAAATAAACCAGACTCTCTGTGGTAGTGTGTGAAGTCGAAAGAAAGAGTTTTAAACCTGCGATGAAAAGGGGGAAAAAGGCATTTATTAGAATTAGAAAGCATACAATATAAATCAGCACTGTAGATTTCTTCATTACAATTAATACGATGCAAAAAAAAAATCAGTTTGTCACTATACCAAAAGAAAAACACATCAGAAGATTCAGTGTCTCATGCAAAATATGCAAAGCAGTTTGGTAATCTCCATGTGAAATCATCTCTTACTGCTGCATGTGTTCCCAGAGGAAAAATAAGTTGCATTGTTTTGCTTTTTTGGAAAGTTTTAATGGGGTGGCACGCTATATTATTTTCCAAAGAATAATTCAATATTTTCTTGCTCTCAAAGTACTCAGCAACTGAAGAATGAGTGTGCATTAATAAGTACACACTCAGCATGTCTTGGAGATGCAGTCATCTGGCCGTAACAAATCCACTTACTGTTTCTTGCTCCAGTCTGCCATGTGCAGGTCAGCTAGGAGCTGCTGTGTTGTTACACTGCTATCTCCCAGGAAGACACTTGCCAGAGGACTGAGAGTATGTGTGTACTGCAGCCGTGGCAATCCGACAAGGCGCAGTGTAGGGTTTTGGTGTAGATGTGGCGCTAAGGTGTGGATGATCCACTGCTCTGCTTCTGACCAGCTGGATAAAGAGAGAATCGACATACAGTAAGCTTGGGATTGTGTGTGTATGTGTGCAAAAAAGTAGATATATACAGATGAATGAGACGCAACATCAGTGTTAAGCTTTTTTCCTCTACATATATTCTCTTTTGTCCTGACCATTAGACTGAATATATTTTAGTATTTGGAAGTTAAACTTTAAAGAGTAATCAGTCATTAGTCAAATGTGTCACCATGGCAGAATTAAGGCAGTACCATATTTTTCTGATGACAGCAGGCTAAAATTAAGTCGACTGCATGAAATAATGAAATCTTTCACGTTGAATCATTTTTAAAGCAATTATGTGTTTGTTCACTTCCTGCTGAACTAGAATTACATTTTAGTGCTTCTTGCGATTTCTTAATCTAATTTTTAATAATATTCAACATTTCTGACTTTGGTAATATCAAAGAAGATAGCCATCCACACGACCACCCACCCTGTCACCATCATCTACAGATCGGACAGGACAATGAAATTATAACTAGTGGTGTACTAGGAATAATGCCCTGGCACCAAGATATCTGAGGGTTTTTTTCCGACAGAATTCAGCTTTGCGCAGAGCTAAATTTACTGTTTGGTTAATGAAAATCCTAAAAAAAATAATTGCAGCATTTTGAAAAGAAACTAGGTGAACTAAAATATTTAAAAAATTTGCTTTTTCAGGACTGAATTTATTAATTTCTGACGTCGGATAGGTAAAGTCTACACCTGACAAAGCCCAACTTAGTCATAACATGTCACCATAATATGTCTACTGAGTTCTATGTTCAAGGTTTCCTCCCCAGATTATACAGTGTGTGTCTGCATTAGGTATGGTGTAGTGTTTTGACAGCAGGAAGCTGAGTGCTGCCCTTACTCTCTGAGTGAGGTGAGGTTAGGGACCCCCGAGGGTGCCGTGTGAAGACGGCGTCTGACAGCGGAGTGCAGCAGCCTGCCCTGCCTCTGCTCTACACTGTCCTGGTAGTTCACCATCAGCACCAGCAACAGAAATAACAGCTGGCACACACAGTGCTGCAAAAAAGATTCAGATAATCAACACAAAAATTTGATGCTTCTGAAGACAAATTGCAACAAAATTTTGATGTTCAGTTTTACCCTCATTAGTGATCGCAGAGCTCTGACTTTACGGGCCTCCTCTTTAGCCTGAAGCAGCCCGTAGCCACATGGGGGCCGAACCTTCCCGCCATGCTCTCCAAACGCCCTCACCACAGTGGTCTCCTGAGCCAGCTGGTCCTCCACTTCTGGATCCACAGGCCTCCACAGTGCTGTGTAGATCAAGGTCTGCACAAACACCTGAACAAGGAAGATGGAGACTGCAGATCAAAGGATCCCAAAAATCTATGAAGTGAGTTAATTAGATGATGACATGTTTGAACCCACCTTCAGAGGTTCCAGCAGCAGAGCAGAGGTAAGAAAGGCAGAGAGAGCTGATACCATCCACATGAGGAGTACTGTTCTGGAAAAAAAGCTGCCGTAGAGTCCGACCACAGCCAGACAGGCTCCTAGCAGCACAGCCACCAGGGGGTAAATCACACATATTGCCCAGGAAGGGAGCAGCCAGCTGGGCTGACCTCGAGCAACGCCTAGGATGAGCAACAGATATCTCAAACACCAATCACAACCAGATCACCAGATGTGAATAGAAATTGGGTAGTATAGTGATTCCCAACCAGTAACTGCACCCCAGGGGGATTATGCAGTTGCCAGGGGACACATGGTAAGATTGTGAAGTAGTCGTACCTATGCGTGTGGTGGAGAAGGAGCGCGTAGAGTCAGGTGAAGGGGTCGGCAGGAAGGTGCTGGCCACCGAGTCTACAGATAGCACAGAGGGACACTTGTAGAGTCCTGCCCCGTACAGGGGGGAACAGGACTGTGCATTTAGCTTGTGGATCTCTGCACCATACAGGAACTTATCCTCACTCCGCTCTGACCAGCTGCTACACGAGGTGCTCTGCCTGAAAAGCAAAAGACTAGTAACTACAGTGTGTTGCTAACAATATCGTAAGAAACACAGAAATGCATGTAATGGCATTTGCAATTCACAGAAGCAGTCCTTACGTGTTTGAGAGTGAGGAGATGGTTCTGGGGGAATCACGGCCACTGTCTGAGTTGCTGTTAGTTATATCTGCTGTTTCCTCTGCTGCTGCTGCAATGGACATCAGCAGATCCTCCTCTGGCATCGAGTACAAAAATACATGATCAGACTAGTACACACGCTGTATCTATCCACATCTGAGAACCCATCCCTCTCTAAGACTCTTATTAGTTGTAAGCAATGTGGGATTGTCTTCTGCAATTAAAAGTTTTGTTTTATAGAAACCATACAGTACTCTCTTCGACAACATGACAAGATTTTTCAGATGTACAAGATAAATAAACCCTGATTTCCCTTGAGTGAATATTTGAATATCTGATATTTATTGGAGCAGTTTCTCACCCGACAGAGTCAGAAGTGTTGTCAGATTGTGTTTCTGAGCCTGCACTAAGTTGGTGTTCATGGCAGAGACCTTTCGGTTCAGCGCAGCAATAGATTGATGAGAACTGGGAATGTCTTTGGAAAGGGGATATGTGCAAAGGGGAGAGAGAAGAGCAGGAGGTGAGCCAGTGAAGGAGGGGGAGGCCAGGTGGAGCTGCATCAGGGCCTTTTTTCTCCTCAGCTGGCGCATCTGGCCAATAGAAGGTGAAGCTTTGCAGAGGTTGGGGGCTGGGGTCATCATAGTGATGCATGGGCCTACTGGTAGATTGAGGAGGCTGTCGCAAGACGGCCACGTCCCTATGCCCTCCTCTTGACATGCTCCATCTGTCTGGGGAGCCAAGCCAGATGCAGCCCAAAAATCCAGAATACTGGAGTCAAATGCCTTGCTGTCCAGTAACTGCAGAAGCCAGAAGAACACTTAATGAGACAGGAGAAGAGTGATTATTTGTGTGTGTTCACGTGTGTGTGTGCGCACTCTCACAGATGAAGGACTGTCCCTGAATGGGCCAGAGGAGTCTGGCAGAGACAGGAAGGAATGCCCGGAGAGCTCCGATTGGCCAAGGTAGACCTCCATTTCCACAGAGTGACAAGCGGGAGAAGGAGGAACTGACATGTCAATGGTAACCTGGATAACACACACATATAAACACACACCTGCTGCCTGAACATTTCTGAGTGTACATTCAGATAAATGGAAAACACTCACTTGTGCTGTTTCCATACTGAGATAAGACTATTTAACAAGCAAAGCTTGGACGTAGGTCCAATACACCACTCTAATGACCTCTAATATGGAACGCACTGAAGGCATGTGTAAGAGCAGACATGAACAAACCCCACCAAAACTCCATCTACGCCCTTTTTTTAAATGAACACATTAATATGTCAAATGGGTGATATGAGGACAGATTTTCTTTCAGCAGTCAAATGTATCATGAGAGTAAAATAGTTTTAAGCTGTTTAGAGTTACCTGACTGTGAGCTTTTCTAAACAGGAAACAGAGAAAACACTGGACAGGAAACACCAGTACAGCAACAGTCATCCCCACGGCAACCGTCTCCACGTTAACCAGCAGCTGGGCTGACACTGGACCACTTGTGGCAAAGGGACACAAATCAGTTTCATCCTGTCACCTCTGCAGAGCCTACTCACAGACTGGTTTATATCTGGAAAAGGTCAAATGTATTGCCATGTATAACTAAAAAAATGACATAATGTCCCTCTGAATGAGCCAAAAATACTATAAAACATTAAATTGTATTTTCTACTGATAATGGAATATTATATTACCTTAGCCAGTGATTACTTATTTTGTTTAAATTACATTATTATAGTAATTAGAAGGACTGTATCTTTATTGAAGTGTTATTGAGTCAAATCATCAAATGATATAACAATCTGACATTTGTTGTATTATCTATTCCCTACCATGAAAGGATATGGGGTTTATACTGAGGCCTATAAGCCATCTTACCTGTGCCCCACGGTGCCAACAGCCCCATACCACAGAGCCCCCAGTGCCAGGTAGAGGTGCAGCATGAGGGCACTGCATGTAACCCTCTGAGCCCTGGTGAAATGGCTGTGAGCAGGACGCTCCCACAGCGACAGCCACAGGTGGTGCTCAACCATCCCAAACATCAGCTGGGAGGTGAAGACGCGTCGGAACTGAGATAGCTCCTCAGGACCTGGTGAGGATAAATTGAAAGGTTGAAAGAGGTTGTCAGGAAAAAACACACCACCCAACCACTGGAAATAGAAAATGGTTGTACATGAATGTATGTGGTTTGTTTGATAAATCATTTAATCCAGAACTTTTATCCCTGTGCCAAAATCTGGACTTTAAAGAAAAACAGCTTGTTCTACTATAACATTAAATAGACACTGTGAGATTTTTTCTTGCAACGTGTTGGTTGAAAGTAATATGAATTATCTTACATGAGGCTAGAACTTCCTTCTCCACAGTGCCGTTCTTCTGATTCTCCACAGAGAGCCAGTCCTCCAGCAGGAAGAAGAACATGTGGTCTGTCTGAGGGTCCCAGACCACGACATGCTGCACGTACCAGGAAGGGTCCAGACCTGCATTTACATATATGATATCAGACTACTTATAGTATCAAGTAATTGCATTGATTTGATCTCCTGTTGTCTTGTATAGCTGTGGATGGATAAATGAACAAATCTTTTTGAACGACTCCTTTTAGCGGCACTGAGTCAGCCTGCAGAACGAGTGCTCACTGCTCATGAAAGACATGAATTCACTCACTCATTTCCCAGTTTTACTGCCCATGTATTGCAGGGTATTTCTCACGGTGGTGCGTTGCTCATAACAAAATGAAACAGGAATGAATGAGAATCATTGGACGTCAATGAGTGAATCCAGTCCAGAGCCTGGCAGCTACACTCACTCACACACTCACACTGAACAAGGTCGAATGAACCTTTCACTCAAACTGGGAGTGGGTCTGCTACTTGTCTAAGAAGAATGACAAGTTGATGCAGATAAATCACATTTCTGTAACATTGTGTGTCTGGCTTACATAGCCTACCTACATACAAGTGGAATGCTGAATCAATGCATTAAAATGTAAAATATTAATGTAAACTTATACAAGAAGACTGGAAATGCTTTTGAAGAGAAGTTTTATGGGGCAGGCAGCAGTAGCTATACTATAAGACAGTGTCATGGAGAAACGGGCGCCATACCAAAACTCAAAACCTTTGATACATTTACAACTCGAGGGAACTGATTCTGTGGGGAAAAAATGGTCTACCCATCACTCTTTGAAACATTTGATCTTGTACTAGGTATTGATTGCCTAATTTGTCTTTATTTGCTCTTCATTTAGAAAAATTAACCAAAATATCCATCTAGAGGGTGAAATAATTTTACTTGTTTCTAACATAACTAACTTAGCAGTTTCCATGTACCTGTGTTATCATGCCAGATGCGAATTTTCCAAACTTCCCCCAGGTTGTCATCTGTCTCGAGGTGAAACTGGTCCAGACTGCCACGTTGAAAAGCTCCATCCCTCTGCAGATGCCGAGAGCCGCTCTTGTTCACACCATATAGACTGATCCCGACATGTGCCGTGGTGCCTGATTGGTCAAACCCCCAACATGGATCATTTCCATCATATACAATTAGAGGTTTCATAAATCAAAACATGAAAATGCATTTATTATTTATATTTTAATCTTCACTTTTCATTTCTACATCCTATTGACTTGTCCTTGGCTGACCTGCTCCTCGCCTCCATCCAGTCTTGACCAGCACTCTATAATGGTACAGCCCTGGTCTGCCACACAGAGGGACCTGGCTCAGTCTCAAGCTGTCCAAGTGGTCCAGTTTATGAGCGATGAGCCCCACCAGCAGGTGAATCAGAACCAGGACGGCACACACAATCGCCACAACGATGTTATGCACGGGCCCACCTGACTGCACAGATAACACACGGATAGAGGGAGAAGAGGAAGAGCCTGTTGGTGACTAACCTCTTTTTAATACTTATCTTGCTTTGGAGAAATGGATTAGATATATTTATTTGTCAGAATATTCAAAAATAATGTCTATAAATATAAATATAGGTGCAATGCTTTGTGTTCTCACATACCGGTGGCAGCAGAACAACGGCCCCAGGATGAACAAACAAACTGGCCCCAAACATGGTGAGGTGCTGGGTGAGACACTGTGCTGTGTGGAGTGTGCTGCCCTCCAGTGGCTGTAGACCATCACTGCTCCAACGCCTCTCCTCCACACTGTAGTACTGACACAGAGAGCTGAACACGCACACAGACACGTGGACGGGGCCTCCGTCAACCAGAGATGAGGTAAGGTTGACAGAGAGAGGTTTGTCTGTTCCGTTCAAACTGTTGTGGAAGAATTTTAAGTCTTTAAAGTACTTCTTTATTCAGTAAAGTGGGCATTCAAACACAGCACCGAGTTACAGAAAAGAGCAATGACTCACAGTGGAGACAGAAAGATGGATTCCTCTTCGGAGGTGGTCGGAGCGGAGAGAGTGAGAGCCCACTCTCTCACAAGGGAATCTTGGGATGCATTAGTCCCTGGCACTGTAGAGCTCACTTCTATCTTGACATGTCCCAGGCTCACTGGAGTAGCTCCTAGATATGCATAATGCAGATTGAAAACAGTCTTTTTATTTATAATTCATGCACGCAGATATACAGTAAGGTCGATTAATAATTATGTAGGCGATGCATTATCGACCTTAAAGATAGTTCGCTGTCATTATTTAACAAATGACATCCTGACATGTCATGTTTACACCAAAACTTCCCAGAACAGTCAGCCACTGACGTTCATTTAAAATGTATTCATACTTAAATGTAAAGTCGGGCAGTCATTACTTTGTTGAAGTTTAAAACTGAGGTAGGGCAGCCCTCTAATATTTTTTTAATTAAAGACAGTTAGGAAGATTGTCTCTTTAAATTGTTCTTCATAAATAAACATTTAAACCCACTGTGTCTGACTGTGAAAATGTCTGGCTTTTGCTGCCCTCCAGTGGAATTAAATTTCCACTGCAATCAGCTCTTTTCTTCTACAAGCTAAAACTGGAAGCAGCTAATCGATATTTTTAGAATCATGTGTATCACAGTGAATCACAATATAAAAACGACGGGACTCTGTGAAAGGGGTCACTCACAGTGATGAAACTACAGAGAATTATCACCCATCACACTTTATAGGGAGTTTCGGCTCATTGTTCACTCATTTAACTTTACTGTCTTGCTGCCGTTTGGTTCTGGGCTTGTGGTTTACAGTAGTTGTATTAAAGCTTTTTGCGGAAAATTACTGCCTGCTGCTACTGAAAACAAGGTTTATGAGAGCAGTGAAATTAAACAAAAACAGTAAAGGTGTGGTCCATAAAACCAAAACAATGAGCTGAAAGACACTAAAATGCTCTATGGAGCTGAACGGAACTCCAGATTTTGCTGATAATTCTCTGGATTTGTTACTAAGACATAACTTATAGTCATTTGATCCATTTTGTTCTAGAAATATTGGTTAAAACTGGAATGTGTACACTTTGACATATGACTTTGCCGACTCCTAATAATAGAAGATACTATGACAGACAGCATTGTGTCAGTTTTCTACAAAACACCCCAACTTAGTGAATTATTTGAAAGATGATATAATCACATTCTACAAAAAGGGGTTTTCCATAGATACAATTTGCCTTTTGTGAAATTGTACATTGGTGCATAGCATGAATAAAGTAAAATGGCATTAAGACCAAATGGCCATAAGCATTATACCGAAGTGCAAAAGTTTAAGATGTGGACACAAGAATGGTCCAGAGAGAGAAAGAGAAATAATGTACTGTACCTGGGTCCAGACTGAAGTTGAAGGAGATATATAAACCTGCGTTTTCATCAAGTCTATCCACAGCTTTGACTGTAAGGTTCAACCTTCCTTCAGCGGGCAGAGTTACAGTAAGACATGTCTCGTTCCCAGCTTCACCTACCCTCCCATCTCCACCCCCATCATCCTGTCCCACAGGGTACTTGTTGGGCAGGGTGACCCGTATGGCCTGTTCAGGGTTCAGATCCTGGATGGGTATGGGTTGGCCCTGAGGTGTGGTGAGCTCCATGCCAACCAGCGACGTAGAAATTGGAGGATCGGCTGCAGTCAGCAAAGGGTTGGATCCCAATGCTCCATCCATACCAAACAGTACTTGCACCACCTCAGACTTCTGACTCTTCAGGTGAGCAGTAAGGGAGGTAGGGATATGAAACTGACATGGGCGAGAACTCTTTGATTCATCAGTTGATGATGACTGAGAGGGGATGATCTGGTTTTGGTTGGAGTGGTGAGTGCAGAGGAGGTCGGAGGGGTCTCCATGGAAGCCCACTGTATTGATATAAGGGGTGGAGAGTGAAAGGAGAGCCTCGCCATGCACATGTGAATGCATCAGAGAGCGCATCAGGGCCCTTGCGTGACCCAGCGCTGACAGGGCGATTGTGGAAGCAGACTGCAGAGTGCTTGAGTAGGCTGGGTGAGAATTGAAAGCACTGACAGACACAGCAGCAAGGGTGCTGCCTGGAAACACAAAGAACACAAAATATTAACCCATTCTGTAAAGTTCACAATCAGGACATGACTGTTTCATGCAGGAGATGATCGGCACCTATGATGTTAAGGATGTTTCTTCCTGTTTCAACAGTTGACAAACCACCGGAACTCATCTGTTCCTCCATTACATGGATCATCTTCCTTACAGCTTCCAGAACCTTCTCCTGGCAGTTTTCACATACCAATTCACTAGGAACCGCCTTGGGAAAACAGAAAATGAAGATTTTTTTTTACAGAATTAATGCTTGAAAGATGTAAGATTAGAAAATAATGTGAATGAAGTATGATGTTATGCTCTTGTGTGAAATGGCCGTTTGGTGTTTGTTTGTCTTTGTCATGAATTACTGTGGGCACCAATATGAGAATGGATTAAATGTCTCCATATGTTTGATACCCAGCAGCTGTCCTCTAAAGCATTTTTAATATTACTAATCCCTTGTTAAATATTTCTGAGCTGAGAATGATCAGGAAGCAAACTAGGTGATTACTTACAGTAGACTGTGACAGTGCTGAGCTGATCTGGTCAACATCCAACAAGGAGGACACGGGGAGAGAGGCCAAAGCTTGGGTCACATTTTCCCGGATCTCCCTTCTGTCCTTGAGCTCCCCGGCAGTCCATCCTGACTCCATCTGTGGACGGATGGGTGAAACTTATTAGTCCATATTCCAACCAAATGCAAACCTTTCGAGATTCTCACATCCATGTATGTTCATAATCTTCAATTATTCTGTTATGGATGACAGCTATTTAATCATAATCAAGCGTAATTTCATGCACTGGCAAATGAGTTATGATGCTAACACAGTACCTGATTGAGTTGGCTGGTCAGGGCAATGGAATAAGGAATGATCTCTTGAGGGTTGCCATGTTGGACTAAAGCCCACAGCTCAGTCTGGCTCTTGTTTCTGAGCCACTGACTGGCAACTCTATCCTTTGCTGGATGTTCAACTGTTAATATTCTGAAGAAAGTAGCAACAAAGAATACTGAGAGTTCACTAAAACATGGCAAGACAAAATTTGGCATAGCGTGTAAGAACATAACATAGAAGTTGATAGAAAAATAAAGTATGGTGGAAAGTGTGGCAACAAGCAGAATTTTGATGTGTTACCTGTTCAGAGCAACAACCTTTGCACCCAGGTGGTCTTCTACCAGCAATGTAACTGTGATAACTGACATATTTCTTTTGTGCTCAGGACTTCCCATTGGAACCAAGCTGCCAAATGTTGAACGGGTACCCCTAAGGAGAGAAATTAAGACATAAAAAACTCTGACACAAAGCAAATCCAAACCTTATATTTTTATGTTTTTTAACATTCATGTCAAGATCAAACTTCCTTGTCTATTAACAGCTGGAAGTTAAGGCCTGCATTCACCTGTACAGAGTGAGCAGGGGGCACACCGTGCCAACGAGCTGGCATGGTGCTACCTGGAAGGTATAAATCAGCTGAGAGGCACTGCTTTCATTTCCTTGCCACCCTGTCAAAAGGGAACAGATGTTAGCGAAACACAATCAAATTTTCAAAGCATTTACTCTCTTGGCTTGTCAAATCAAAAAGATGCTGAAAGGTTTTGATGCAAATTGGATTATGAAAAACTTTCATTATTACTCTTACTATTTGTTACCTGAGCAGTTGTAGGTGACCACTGTCTCCAGCAGACGTATATCTGACTCTGGACTGAGATCGCAGAGGCCTCCATGTGGTGGATTGTTAGGTAGTATGGTAAGGCTGGCGCTGCCCCACTGCTCAATGTCAGGCTGGGATACATTGAGAGTAAAGGTATAACTCTTCCCTGCCTGTAGGACACCTGAACGCACCACCAAATTAGGAGACTGTCCCCCTGTAGTGGTGGAAACCATGTCAAGGTCAAGGGTCATGCCAGTCTGGTCTGCTGCACTCCATTTGTACTGTGAGAAGACAGATATATGAATCATAATAACACTGAATGGCTTATTGTCTGTGTACATTTGTATATTTCTTGGCTGCAAATAACAAACCATTGTATTGTTCATTTATCTACCTAATTAAGCATTGCTAAGATTCAATATAGATTAAAGTGTCCAATCACAAATTAATTCTCTGAGCAGATAAACACAAAATTAATAAGATAATGAATAACAACAGAGACGGCAGCAGAGGGAGCACAGATAGTGGATAGTTCCTCTTTGCACTTGTACTACCTTTTCATTTTCTTGTGTCATGTTTTATAAGAAATGTTTTGTCTTATGCTATTATCTTTGGTTTTACTTCCAACATTTGCATTTTGTTCATTAAACCACTATTTAACAGAAGTCTGCACAAAAAATTATGAAATTCTACTTGAATAATGACTCTATACAAAAACAAACTGATCGTTAGTATAAGACTCATTACCTGAGCCTGGTCGTCACATTGTCCACATTGTCCTGAGAATATGATGCGGGTGGTGTAACTAATGTGGTAAGAGGAGGACAGGACAGAGCAGGACACACATTCCACAATCACCGGAAGCACAGGAGCTTCACACACAGTCACCTAAAGATATGGAACAGAGGTATGTGTGAAGTGTTGACTAAATTCAAGTAAGTTCTTCCACAGTCTCCAAAACTATTTATTTGCAGGAGATACTAAACATAACTTCATATAGCTTTTCTCAACTGATCTACTGGTTCAAGACAAATACGTTGATTTTAAAGAGATAAAGCATGCATTTATGTGATAATGGAGTTATATTATGGATAATACTCACTGTCTGGTTGACAGAGACAGGTCTCCTCCCTGCCTTGTGTATAGTGAGGGTGAAAATGTAGATTGTGCCTGGGTGCAGCTGTGTGCTGAGTACAGTCATTCTACTGCTGTTACTCCCAAAGGGATGATTTACAACATGAGACTCTGTGGAGTTCTGAAAATACAAACACCAAGGGGTTAGTAATACCTACATAGATCTCAAGTAGGGAGATGACTGTTTATCAAAGAATTACCACTTTTGCTGCTTTCAAATTCTGTATTATTTTTTTATCTTATACAACCTATAATGATAGCAGTTAATATAATTGTCCTTACAATAAAGTTGATTTAACATTAAGAGGCCTTTACCACTGCCATGCAGGTCCAGTGATACTGGAGTGTATCTTCTACTTCTGGCTCTATATCAGGGTCTTGGGATTCAGATCCATCCAGGACGAGGTCACTAAGGCTGGGCCACAGTCTGTGTGAGCCTCCCTTGATGACAGCTACCAGTGGGGAATGGACCACTGTAATGGTGGTTTTTCGTTTGACAAGTAAAGGGGTTCCCTGGAGTGAAACAGTGAATACCAGGCAATACTGTCCCGCATCGAGGGTATGCTTTTGGAGTAAGAGAATAGGTGAAGTTGCATCTACCGGACTTCTAAGAATGACGTTGTTCCCAGAGTTGGCATTGGTACAATTGGACTCTTTGAGTATCTCCCATAGGTATGTGGTTTTGTAAGCAGAGCAGTTAATGTCAACTCTTGCTTCAAAAAAACTTGTCCTTGACCTGAAGATAGTAGACTGGCTCTGGACAAGAGAGACTTGGGGGCTGGAACACTGGGGCTCCTCTACCTTCATGTATAACTGTGTGGACACATGGCTGACACTGTTGAGAACTTTGACTGTAACACTGTATTTCCCAGGAATATAATAAGTATGACTGACTGTGCTTAAGTCTGTCACTAATTCTACAGTAGAGTCTCCAAAGTCCCAGAGGTATCTGAGGTTGCTCCCTCCATTCACTTTTGTAGAAAACATGACAGCATGTCCAATGAATATTCTGTCTGAATGACAGACAAGCTTTACTGTCTTAACAGGCCACTGAACTATAGCAGTATCATTTACCGTCATGGAGCAGACTCCATTGGTGGCGAGCACGCTAACAGACAATAAACCACTCTCAGGTGGAGTGAAGATCACTTCTTGTCCCATGAGCCATGTGGGCTCAGATCCCACCAAGTGAAATGTCCAGGTGTAATTGACTGGAAGTACACTTTGAATTTCTGCCTTAAACTGTATTCCTTTAAGAGCCTCTAGAGCAGCAGAGCAACAGTTCACAAGCCCCAAACCTTGAATATGCTCAGTAACCAGAAAGCTGGAAGACACCTCGGCACTACTGACCTGGTTCCAAGCTTTCATTGTAACTTCATGTGTCCCTGCTAGAAGGTTTGATGTGGTGAACCGGCCCTTGAGAATGCCCTGACTATAAATCCAGTCTTTGTTTCTTAATGTTATAGCAAAGCTTACATTGCTTCCATTGGAGATTGTTGATATAAAAGTAACATGTTCCTCTGTGCAGAAAGAAGACTTGGAAATGTTCAGCATTAGACCTTTGATTACATCCTGGACTGTGACAATGTGTGAAACCATCTGCCAGTTTATCCCATTGGAAACATTCAAAGACACCTGATAGACGCCTGCGTGTGGAAAAGTGTAGTTAAAGGTCTTGTTAGTGGCATTAAAAAGCATGCTTTTGGCACCTCTAACTTTCCAATTCCAGTGCAGATCGCTACCCTTAGGAATAAGTCCGTGAAGTGGAACAGCAGCACTTGTGGTGATATAAAATGGATTTGTCTTTCCTTCAATTTTAAAGTCCACCTCTTGGATTTCTTCTTGAACATTAAACTCTTTTGAGGCATTGCTGTGGCTGAGGACATTCTGAACTGAAACTTTGACAGGACAATGACCCACATCTGTGAAAGTATGTTGAAGAAAGGGTACATGTGTCTGCAAGGGTGAAAGATCAGATTTCACATACCAAAAGTACTGTAGGTCTGAGCCGGCAACCACGGATACAGAGATGTTCACTACTTTCCCTAATGCCACAATGTTTGATTGTGTTGTAATGTGTGCACTTGTTATACGCTGTACTGCCACTAAAGAAACAACGCTAGTTGCCTCACCCAACTTGTTAGAAGCTCTTAGATGAATTGAAATCCCACCAGGAGTTTCAGCTAAGATATGAAAAAGCTCTTCAATACCAGTAATTTGTTGGTTTATTCCGCTCTGTGTAGCAAGCCAGTGATAAGTGACATTGGAGCCCTTAGTGACTGAAGCAATAAACAGCAGTTCCTCTTGCGTTGGTACATATTTCATGTTTGTCAGGCTCTGACATTCAATCTGAAGACCCTCTATTCTTTCAAATACCTCTATTAGAATAGCTGCCTCCTTTCTACTCACCAGGTTCTGTGCTATAACCCTCACTTGATACACTCCTGGTTTCAGAAACACAAATCTAAACTGATATGTCCCCTGTTTGGTTGAGGTCATACCATCCACAGTCCAGTAGTAGTTGGTGCTACTGATAGCACTGCTAATTGCTGAAATAAGAGTTTCTTCTCCTACTACAGCATATGGCTGATTGGTGTGAAGTGAAAGGTCTGAAACAGGAAGTAATACATTCACTGTAAGGGTCACAGAATGCCTGCTAACAGCATTAAATGCTGTGCTGGTGACTTTGAACTGACCAGTCAATGTAAAGACATGTGACACGTTATGTGTTTGCTCAACTGGAGAGCCATCTCCGAAGTCCCACAGCACTGACACGTTACTACCAGTACAATTGGCTACCCAAAATGATACTAATGTATTGACTGTCAGTGTGTCCATTTGACTATCATGCACCACAGACAGCTTACTTACAGGGTTTTGAATGGTAATACTAGCTTTGGCTGTTTGGTTGTTGACCTTGTTACTTACTGTCACTGATACCTCTTCAACACCTTCGTCTTTAAAGATAAAACATTTTTGAGCATTTTCTGTCATGGCATTGAAACTAGAGGGGTTGCTAAACCACTTAAATTGGTAACCTGTCATCTGTTCAGGGAAAACTAACACCCTGAAGCATACCTCTTCTCCTACTGCCACTACTTCCTGTGATGACTGCACTGTCATGTTGGTTATTGGTGCTTCGACGTAGATACTCGTATTAAATGATACAGATGTAACAGAACTAAACACAGTCAGACTAATATGAAAAATCCCTTGGCATTGAAATTTGTGCCTGGCTGTTGACTGTCCCCTCACTACAGTCAGAGGTGATCCATCTCCAAACAGCCAATGGAAAGTCAGAATAGATATGTTCCCATTCACCAGAGCATTAAACTCTATGTCTCTTCCACTCATGATGCATTCTGTAGGGAGGACTCCACTAACAGCCAACCTATAGACCTCTACACTGATAGACTGATGGGCTTGGCTGAAAGAATTCGAGACAGTTACGTCAACTATGTAGTTTCCTGGCGACTTATAGATGTGGGAGATGGAACCATCTGTCAGGTTTCCCTGCAGGGACCCATCACCAAAGTCAAAATTCCACTTGAGACGCGTACCAGTGACCACCATAGCTTTGATATCTGTAGCAGAGCTTAGTTCACTGGGTCCGCTGTAGCTGACCGTTAATCCAGAGATTTTCTCCATAACTTCCACCATGAGCCAGGTGGATAGAACTGAAAGAGTGTTGTTTGCACACACTGTGACATTATAGACCCCTGCAGATGCAAAAGTGTGGCTGACATTATGGTGGATACATTGGACAGCTTCAGAGTCATCGCCAAATTCCCATGTGTAGGTGACAGCGTAGGTGGAGGGCTCTACAGAAGCTTCCAGAAGGAGGGTCTGTTTGACGATGGGCATGGGAAGGGAAGAGGAAATGAGGAGGTGATTTAACTGAGGGCGGACGATTATCTTCATGGATGTGTCAGCGTTGTCATACAGGTTGGAGACTTGGACATGAAGAGTGTAGTCATCTACATGAAACCACACACACACACACACACACACACACACACACACACACACACAGAAAAGAAAATTTATTTTACCTTGATGGACTGAACATTTCTACCAGTGTCAGTATTGCCTTTAAAAAAATATGTAATAAATGTAAATTAGATGATACATTGTTGAAATAAAAGACTTCTTTACCAGTCAACCTAAAATACACACACATTACGCACCTAGCAGACATGGGGCATCCTATGAACTTCATATGTCATGTTGGTCATGTTTCTGGCCAATACTAGCTCCAATAGTCCAATATTCACTCTTCTTTTACCCCTTGTTTTGTCTGTACCTCCTTAATCCTCCCATCTGACAACAACTCCTTAGGATAAATATCCAGCTCTATGGCTGCTAAATCCACCATGTTCACTGTTTAGGAGCTAAGTTATTGTGTATTTTTTAGTGCTGGGCAGGTAGCATGTTGCGGGTTTATCAGAACTTGTTTGCTAAAAAACAACTGCCTGCGGCTGATGGAAAGTGGATGATATGAACAGTGAGAATGAACCACAACGGTTAAGTTGCAGGCTGTAAACCCAAAACAATGAGCTCAAAGATGCAAAAACGCTTTGCATAACTGAGGGGAATTGCAGAGTCATGGTGATAAATCTCTGTGGGTTTGTCACTACAAGCAACCCCTCTAACATTACACATAATCATTTGAGCCATTGTAAATATAAAAATATTGATTAGAGCAGCTTTAATAGTTTGTGTGTGTGTGTGTGTGTGTGTGTGTGTGTGTTTACCTGGGATGGAATAAGTATAGTTCACCAAGTCCTGGACATACACTTGCTTCTCTCCTCTCTCCATAAGCCCTTCCATGATCTGACATGGAGCCGACTGGGTGTGGATCACTTTGCTACTTCCAGCCCCAAAATCCCATCTACATGACATACATGGACATTTAGAATAACCATACAAAACACAACTTTAAAATACAATGCATTTCCTGTGGTAGTCTTTGTTTTAAGGCCAAGGGTATACAGTATGCCATGCAAGTGATTTTGTCTGAGGATTTTTTGACGGCTATTTCTGAAAAATGCAAAGCCTTACCTAAAGGTGACTGGCATGGAGATGTCCACCTTGACCCTGAGGGTGTAGAGGTGTGTAGCATCCACAGCTACGACCTCACTGACCAACAGAAACTCTGGCTCAGCCAGTGGGGTAATTTCATCGGCAGTCAGGAGAATTTGTTGGCTCTGGGAGCTCACAGGGTTGGAAGCTGTCACCTACCAGAAAGCTAGCGAGTTACTTTTTCTCTTTTTTAGTATTTATGGGGATCTGGAAAAATCTCAAAATGTAATTTAGAAATACATTATGATGTTTAATTAAAACATGTTATATTTTAAAAAATAGGATCAAAAATAAGTAACTAAGCAGATTTAACATCAAAGAGAAAAATAATGTACCTTACCTTTAGCTTATACTCTGCAGGCTTCTTGAACACTACACTGTAAGATTCTCCTTCATATGCAAACTCCTCCAGGTTGTCAATCACCCATGTGAATTTTACTGAAGAACCACTCTGCACTTTGGCTATATATGACTACGATGTAAAAACAAAAGAAAATTAGAAAAAAAATAATTTTACATTTTACATTCCTTAGACAAAATGTGCAAGGATAGGGTCTACAGACATGCTTGGTGTTTTGAAGCTGTTTAGCACTAGCATTGTTTTTAGAGGAATTATAAAATATACAAACACATAACACACAATACATAATAATATGTATTTTGTATTATGTATTTTTGTGTAAGACAGTATTATAAAACACTTTTTAAAAAAATGTAAAAGCTGGTCATGTGACCCAGATGCAGCCTATCTGTCACACCTGTTAATGTTCATGTACTTTTGCTGAGGAAGCTACTGGCGAAATGTATTGTTTAATTGTTCGTAAAGTCATTCCAGTGTGCACTGGTTAATTATAGTTACTAGATATAGTTGGTTAAACAAGCAGAATGTGTGTGTGTGGTTAATTCATTTTTGCATTCTTACCTGTGGAGTTTCTACGAGCATCCTCAGGCATCCATGTGGCTCAACACTAAGTCCCGTCACTGCCTCATAGCCACAAACCCTCAAACTCACACTCTGAGAGCTTACTGCATCCATCACAGTGATGTTCAATGTTTTAACCCCCACTGAGGGTAACACCAGAGTCACAGAGGAGAACCAGTCATGATTTGACTGTCTCTTACAGCCAGGCCAAAATTGAGCCAGCTCTTCAGGGCAAGATGGAAGGAAGGGGACCCCAGTCTGGAGGACTGGGGCTGACCATGAGCTCCTTGCTCTCTGTCCAGACAGAACCTTGATGACAACAAGTGTTGGAACGTTGATTTGGACATGAATCTGGTTCTTTTCATCTGGTGCGGGGTGGATCACGATAAGCCCAAACTTAGATCTCAGACTCCAGACACCAGTTGTCAGGGCCCAAATACCTGGATCTGTGGTTGTCTCTCTGTCGGTCAAGCCAGAGTTATCATCATGCTCTGTACCTCTGTGAAGATTGTCCACATACAGCATCCTCAGGTCACACACCACCCCGTCAACCCACTGGCCTTCTTGGGGCAGAGAAGTGAGGCCTCCCTCCCACCAGCGTCCCAACTCTGTCCCCCTAAGGGACATATAACTCTGGCGCCAAGGGGAGTCTAAAGAGGCTTCACTGTTAAGGCAATGTAGGAATGTTCCAGAGTCACGAGTGTGTTGTATAGCAACAATATCATCAGGGTACACCATGATCGCTCGATCTGGAAGAAGCAACTGTTTCAGAAAAAAACAAGAAAATGTGTTTTTGTAATCAAACATCATGGGTCCATAATGGCTGCAGGAAAAGGTAATTACATGCAACAAAGGTCAACTCACGCCTATAGTTTGTAGTTCAGAGCTATGGTTTATTCTCAGAGGCATGTCTGCCACCAGGTGGTAAAACGGTGGTATTGCAGGGTATCTGGGAGGTAAAGCAAAACCACGTTCCCCTGCTGCAGAGTCGTAAGGGCTGCAGGGACTGGTGGTGTGCACACAGGTTTCCATCAAGTGGCACCAGTACTGGCCCATGCTGCAGCCCCCTGTGGTGTTACACAGTGGTACTGCTGTGCAGCAGCTGAAAGGATTCAGGAGAGAGCTGCAACCTGAGGAGCAAAGAGAGATTATTACCTATAATACTGAACGAACAGGAGCTTTCAGAAAACTGTTGTACTGTACCTGGAGGTACCAGGTGGTGGTTAGGGTTGCAGTAGGGTCGGAGGATCTGGATACGGGCCAGAGAAGACACTGGATTGGGCTGGACCACCAGCTCCACTGATACCAACTGACCAGCGTGACTGAACCAGATCCCCGGGAACAGCTGCATCTGTGGGGGTCAAAGGAGCACCAGAATATAAACCAACAATAATCCTCAGGTACAGAGGACCATCAACACCAACTGTCATCTTCCGAAGTTGTCATTTAAAATGATTTCAAATACATGTTAGTTAGCACTATTAATCATATAAAATGGGATTTTGTTTGAACTTAGTTTCAACCATTTATCCATTACTGTTAGCTCTTTTAACCATTTAACCATTACTTTTAGCTAGCCATTTCAACCATTTATCATAACCAGAACCATTTATACTTGAAGCTGTTTATCTATTACCTTTAAACATTTATAATTTCATTTCAGTTATTTATCCAATTATTTGAGCTAATATTTAAACGATTATCCAATATGTTTTGCAATCTGTTTCTACTATTTATCCATCACTTATCCTAACTATCTGAATTATTTATGTATTACCTTAGTAATATGTCTGTCTTCATGTGCTTCAGGTTGTGTTTTAGATTGGCAGTGTACTGACCTCCACTGTGCTTTGTCCAATGTCTGGGACATTGGGAATGGGCTGTATCTGAATCTGAGCGTAGATGCCGGTCATGAGAACCAATCCAGTCAGGTAACTGTCCACAGATGGTAAAGACTCTGCATGAAGGGGGATTAACCAAAATCATGTCATGGTACCTTCATGAAAAATTTCTAACATTGTTAGCCGTACATGAGGATACCACAAAACGGTCATAGTGTTAGTTTCATTCTCCATTATTGTGAGAGTGTTTTATATTAATGTGAGTCTTACCAGTTACTTCTTTTTCACAGAGGAAGAGGTTTCGTCCAGCACATTGACTCTTCCTCCACCGTCCCTTTGTCCCCAAAGCCATCTGAGTGCACCCCCCCTGACTCTCGCTGCCTCTGGCCCACAATGCAGGACTTACTGGCTCCATGACCCCAAACTGGTCAGACCCTTCTCCCCCTGAGCCCTTCAGCCATACCCACACAGTGGTTTTTCTACACCAACATGAACACAAAGGGGAAGGGCATATTAATGGATCTAAGCATACATATAATACATGACAGGAGACATTTTTAAATGTTGTTTGTGACACTCACACTGGAAAGGAGAAGTGGATGAAGTTTTGCAGCTCCAGGCTATCAGCAGATGCCAGATCTCCTCCCTGAATCTGTCTGCAAGAATCCTGTGCCTCAGTCCATGAGGATGTCCTCTCAGAGAGCCAATAGCATCGCCAGCTGCCCAGGTGGATCTGTCCACCTGTTGGACAAGGAGAGTCCTCTGGAAGGCAATAAACACACCGAACCGACAGCATGCATGATGAGTCATTTCAAAGAATCATATCAGCTTAATATATGGATAAATACATTTAACTGCAGTCTTGTGAGCATGTTAGAGGAATCAATTCAAAATATCTACTTGTTTTTTTCATTTACCGGTTATTTCAGCAACCAAGCCATGTTCAGGTCAATTTGTAAAATGAATTAAACTGGTTGAGATGATAAGTCACATGGTGAGAGGAGCAGGTTTAGGTCATTAACAGGGAGTCGCAACAGACAGATGTTTCACATTTGTTTTCACATTTTCTTTCATTACACACGCTCTCTCACATTTCACCTGTAATGTTTCATTATAAGATTATGTTATTATTAACTATTGTGACTTATCTGTTGCTCTAATCAGGAAATTTGAGCTGAACATATTAAAACAAACGACACTACGACAGACACCTGGCTTGACGCTTGAAACACTGAAGAACCAGAAACAAATAAAAAGTGTTTTAAGTGAGTCGTATTAATTTCCATGTAAAATATCCTGTGTAAGTAATTCAAGTTTTAGATTTAGAGGACATGTACTAGAAGAAGCCTGTGGCACGAAGGTTATTCAAATTTATTCAGGAAGTATTCCGATTTTTAAAAGAGTCTATTAATAAAAGATCCCACAATCAAAACTCTAATGAGAACAGAATTATCAGAAAAATGTACTTTATGTATCAGAATTAACAGTACTCTTGGTCTCCTCTGACTGACTATTATTAGATTATTATTATTATTATTATGGATGCATCAATGTGTGAGCAGCATTTTACTGTGAGAGTTATCATATTTGAAGTGGAGCTAGTTTTACATAGTTTATTATTCTATAAGAATATATGTTAAATTGAGATTAATTGAGTAATAATCTGAAAGGTAACTAGTAACTACAGCTGTTAAATTAATGTAGTAGAGTAAAAAGTACAATATTTCCCTCCAGATTGTAGTGGAATACACGTATTAAGGAGCATAAAATGGAAAGTACCTCAAACTTGTTCTTAAGTACAGCACTTGATTAAACTTTTCCATCACTGTTTATTAGTGAACTAAGCACAGATAGAAAGGTATTAGCTAATGATACTGTTATGAAGTGAAATAAAAACTATAATACAATAGCTTAAACTGTGAAGTTCATAAAAGTTTGAAATAATGTAATGTATTATGGGTAGGGATGCCCAACCTGGAGGTTAGGATCCCAAGGGGTTGCAAGATACAAAAACATCCATTTTAGGTTAGGTTTATTTTTATCAGCATTTTATATTTATTTTTTTTGTTTGTTTTCTGTTTAAAAATCCTTTAAATTAATATGAGAGGGAGTTATCACTCTTGCAGTGTCTGATGAGGGGTGTGAAGTGGATATTGCTGTATTCTAAGGGCTCAAAAGTCAAAAGGAATGTAACGCAACCACTGTGTTATTGTATGCATTGCACACTACCTGCTGCAAACATAACCACAATACCCTTTCTTTTCTTTGACCATAATTTAAATCTCTACACGCTACACAATTTTAATAACTCTACTACAAAAAGTTAATTGAGAACCGCATCAAATATAAGACCACATCAACCACATTTAACTATGACTGACCTCTCAATCAGAGGGTGAACCCAGCTTGTTAGCACAACTAGCAATGAACAACCTCAACAAACAGTGCAGCAGTGTCCCCAAAAGACTAATTGATGATCACTGTTTTGGGAAAATGTAGTAGTAACGTTAAAACTTTTATGTCTTAAGGCGTTTAACTGTACAGAAGTATCCAGGTCCAGGGTTGCTGTAGTTAACTCTGAACCCTGCCCTCTCTGGAGGAGGCAAAAAAAAAAAGTAAAAAAAAAACCCTTGCATTGTTATTTTTTGTCTTAATTCAATACAAAATCAAACTTCTCACCTCCAGCTGCAGTGATGACAACCACACAAAGAATCCACAGGCTCTGTTTCTGTGACGCAAGTGAACCTGTCATCTTGTAAAGTGCATCCTATCCTCCTGAAGGAAAATACTCTCTGTCTTTTCACCACAGAAACTGATGGACCATCAGTGCATTAAATGTCCGGATTCTTCTCGTCTTCTTTCCTTTCATTGCCACAAGACTCTCCCCTCATCCTCAGAGTTCCTGTATAAGTTGAAAATGTTGCCTTCCTTTCAGTTCATCTTCCTTACCTTAAAACCCTCTGTGCCTTGTACACACGTCCCTCCACTGGCACCCCCCTCCCCTTGTCTTGCAGACACACTATGAGTTATGGCGGTGTGGTCGTTTTAAAGGCCTCTTCCTCACTCTCTCTGAACGCCTGGGTGACTTCTACTTTGTCTCTCAGCAACAGCTATAGAAGCAGAGTGGACAGAGGAGGCCAGCGCTGCTCATTACCATGTTGTAAAACCCCTGGTACTCAATAGAAACAGTCAGACTCACTCAGGCAGGGTGCAGTTAAGGGTCCGGACAGAAACAAGCCTCACAGAGCAAAGAGTCATTGCGGTGTCAGTGTTGTTTGGCAACAATTTGTTGCATTTTATGTGTTTAGTTTACATTTTAGGAATTCAGAGGGATCAGTTTTGCTTGGTTGCCAAGTAGGAAGCAAAGTAAGAAGGTGTTTCAAAGTTCTTTCTGCTGCATTGTGCCCACGGCCTGTTGTCCAAGCACTAACACCAGGACCTCATCACTAACCAAACAAAGGCTCTGTGACGCACATGCAAAAGAAACAGACCTAGTTTTTAAAAGAAAGGATGCCATCTGGGTTGCCTGGAGAGGAACAGATAAAGCAGAGGGCAGTGATAAGGCGACTAAAGCTGAGAATTTTCAGTCCATTGCTATGGAGACGATTGTATTTCTCTTTGTGAGATAGAACTGTTCTCCTCGCAGGAGCAGCAGATTCAACAGGAGGGAGCTGTACTGGTCTCATACAATGGTTTCTGCCAATTCCAGCAGTGAAAGTATCAAACTTTTATTCTCTAGTACTGTGCTTAGTAGTATATTAGTATAATTGTATGCTATATTAAACATCCACTACACTGCATTTCAGAGGAAAATGTTCTAATAACTTTTTAGTTATTTTGCAGATCAAATCTGTTCATACAAAACATGTGAACATCTAATAACAAGCAGTGGTGTGCACAGACCTTTTGAAGGGCAGGGGGAAGGAAAAAAAGGACTACACCACTGTAGAGGGCACTGTAGGCACGTTTTATATGTTATACAAATGGCACATTATATATCCTTAAAACAGACTAACTAGACAGACTACTCAGTTTAGTTTGCTGTTAGGATCAGCATCCACAAGAACTGTGTGGATGTAAACGTTGGACTGTGAAGAACACACAGGGACATGGATGTATGAAGGACATAAATCCCTAGGGGGTCTGGGGGTCTTCCCCCAGAACATTTCCAATTAAGTAGATGCCATTTCCTGTATTCTAGTGCATTTTAACACCATATAAGCACCAGATAATCCAAACTGCTTCTGTGAGATATCATTCTGGCTCAATATAGATCAACAAAGGGCCCAACATAAATAGCCTACTCAATAGCATTAGCCTACTAACAAGACTTTCTGTCCTAACTTGCAAGCTGAAGTTTAAAAGGCATTTTCAAGAAAGCATTTTTAAAAATGATCCCAGATGCTTAGCCCGGCGGGGAGTCAACTTAAACCTGGTGGAAACCCTGTTATGCAATGCTAACCCAACTTTTAACTTTACTTGCTAGCTTTGAAAATATTCCCACAAGACGTAGTGAGGTAGCTCCTTAAACATGCAATAGGCATCTACCTAATAATAGAACTTAGAAGAGGGCAGTTGAGTGTTTTTTCCACCCAAGAGGGTAATTTAGTGTATTTTGCCAACCAGGAGGGCACTTTAGCATGCGTTTTTCAACAATGGGGCCACGTGGGGGGGCGACGATATTCAGCTTATTATACTCTAATGAAAACACACCTATGAATATTATATTCAATTTCTGCCAGTAGATCCTCCTAAAGGTTACACATTGGACCTTTAAGCATAGAGGTTCTTTGTGCTAAATGCTAATGTCATGCTAACATGCTAGAAAAAGTATAGGGATCCCCAAAGTTATTAAATGTAAACTAGAACTCTGTAAAAGCTGCCTGACTGTATGATCTGTTGTTGACAGTACATGGTTTAAGCATTTCAATGCAACTCTAGTCACAATACATCACATCTGCTGCTAATGCTGAGATCTGTATGGAGTTTGCCTCAAATCAATTTAAAGAAGGCAACAAAATGATTATTAAATGAGTCAGTTTGAAATTCTTTTTCCATTTCTAATTGTCATTAAATGATGAATTAATAATTGGAATAACTTTTGTTATTGCATTTACTGTTGTGTCACAAATCCATCTCACAAATCATTCCTACTTTACCATTTATAGTTTCTTTTTCGAACTCACATAAATTTAAAACAGTTCTTTTTTAAAGCCACATAAGCAGTGTGACACCTAAAAATTAAATGCAATCTAATCCACAGAGCAGCCCCCAAAAGTGTTCAATATCAAATAAATATTAAAAGTAGTAAGAAACTATGAAATAGAAGAAAAAGAATGGAATGAATGAAATTACCCATTTAACTAAAACAATAAATGAAATAATCTTAAATATAAAATATAAATATTAAAAGTCAGCATATTGTTATGATATGTGGCTTCATCATTCTTACCTTCCTAAGAACAGCGTTTAATTAGACTTTATATATATGCTCCCTTATGTCAAGTTTATATATTTCCTTTCAATTAATTATATGTGCTCATTAAAGTTAAAATTGGAAAGTATGCCATTATTAAATTAAAACAGACTGTATAATTAAATCAACTACAACTATACTCTATAATTATGTGACAACATATCATAATGATAAGTTTAATATTTCCTAAAATTATCTCACAAAAATGTGTGGCTCATATAAATATTTTATACAATTTATTCAGATGTTTCCCCTGATGTTTATTTAGTGGTTAATTTATTTTTATTATTTGTTTACTATTGAACTGTTAATATAAAGTAAAAGTGATAGTGAAAAAGTGAAAGTACAACGCTCCCTGCTGTTATAGCACTTACAAACACTAACGTTAGATGGCGGCAGTGCGACATTAAACTGAATGTGAGCCATAACACCAACACGACGAGGAAGAGGAACAACCAGGAAGATGAAGAAGGCAGCTGATGGTGACATATCTTAGGTAGGCTAATAATAAAACCAAGAAAACACAGCTGTTTAGCTTCTTTACGTTGCCACAACTCATTTAAAAACAGGGAAACGCGAGATTTGCAGCGCTTTATCTAACAGGATATATCGCTGTTGTGTTAACGTTAGCTCAGTATTAGCCACATTCTTCTGCTCGGCTCTGATACGTTACTGTGTGCTGCTGCACTCACAGTGTTCATTTAATAACGTTACACCAAGTCCCAGTGACATACTCTGTATTGCCCTCTTCTTATTTCAGAACAACACCGTGTTAGGAGACATAACGCTACATTTTCTAAACTGGTATTCTACTTAATAAGGTAATGTTTTATACATTATTTGTGTGCCGAATTTTACGGAATACCTTTATTATTCATAATCGAGACTAGGTTGGGCCCCGACTCGTGCTTATTTTAGTCAGCAATCCATTAAAGATAAAATTGTGATACATTTTGAAGGGAGTTTGGTGTGGTAGGCTTCTGTTGAGATGATGGTGGTTTCTTATCTATGCATATAGAGAGCATCCTTGCTGTTCAGAGTAACGCCTACAAGCTGAGGCCGATGACCATAGATGGATGTTACAGCTGGTCTTACATAGAAACGTCTTTATTATCTGGGTTTGCAGAGAATGGTTCTAGCAACTTCCTGTTTTCTGTGCAAAATATCAGTTACTGCACATATGTTAAAGTAAGCATTTGTCAAATATTTGGTGCCTCGTTCATTTGGCCTGTGTTTCTGTTTTCCAGCAGGTTCTATGCTCCAACTACGGACCTCTGAAGAAGAACAAAGTAGTTGTGAAATTTCCCAGCTCAGACAAGCCGTGTTACAAAACAATGACAGACTCCTTGATGAGATGCTCTGCCAAGAAATCTATAAGAAAGTCATCAACTGCAGAGGAGGCTGGGGCATTGCAGGCACGCCTCTGCATGCCGCCGTGTCTAAAGGCCACCTGGGCTGTCTGCAGGTTCTGCTAGCCCACGGCGCCCAGGTAGACTGTGCGGATGTCAAGGCTCAGACGCCTCTCTTTGCAGCCGTTCGTGGGAAATACCTGGACTGTGTCTTAGCGCTCCTCAGAGCTGGCGCCAACCCCAACGGGAGCTCATCCAACAACTGCTCCCCTGTCCTCACTGCGGCGCGGGAGGGTAATGCAGAGATATTACTGGAACTGCTTAAACACGGCGCAGAGGTCAACTCCCGCTCCAAAGTCTTGCTCTGGACTTCCAGTGCAAGGGTGTCCAGCGGGCCGCTGTACCTGGCTGCTGTTTACGGACACATGGAGTGTTTCAAACTGCTGCTCCTCTACGGGGCAGACCCAGACTACAACTGCACAGATGCAAAGCTGCTGAGTTCTATCAAGCAGCCCAAAACTGTGCTGGAGATGTGCCTCAGGCACGGCTGTGGCGTGGAGTACATCCAGCTTCTGATCGACTTCGGTGCAAACGTCTACCTCCCTACGCTGATCATCGAGAAGTCCACCAAGCAGAACGAGGCCGTGGAGCTGCTTCTGGAGGAAAGAGGTACTGAGTCACATAATGGCAGTTTACAGGTCAGCTCTTTAAACTCACTGGATGGTGCTTTTTTCAAAATGGAAGACCATTGCATACTTGGTACCACTTTATTTTGTGTGTCTGTAATTTCTGAATAATTCCTGAATCAGTTCCTGGTAAGTTTCCCAGAAAGGACAGTGTCATTTAGTACTAATTATTATAGGGAAGTAGAAAACGTTTCCAAGTGGCAGACTTGCAATGAGATGAACTGCTAGTTCAATCCTAGACAGTGTTTCAGTCGGTGCACAGCAGATCATAAAGTTTGTCTCCAGGCAAGATACAGTTCTGCATATGTGGAGAATAATGTTTCTAATAATAAATGAATAATGATGCTTGGGTTTACATTAAAGCATCTCGAACACTTTACACATTGTGTAAATGCAAAACTTATTTTAAATGACATTGCAACGATCTTATAGTTTAAATTTATTT